CTAACATTCATCAATTTTATAAAACAATCCTAATAAAAAATAATTTCTTCCAATCTTCATCCAGCGTCTCTTCCTCCTGGTCCCGGGTTTTGTCAGTCCTTTCTATCCCATCAATCTAGCGCATTAACCTGGTAATCTTATGTCCGAGGCCCTTAAGTCTCTTCCATGTCCCTTCTGCGGCTCTTCTTCATATTTATACCTGTACTTTACTTTGTCTCCTGCTCCTTTCACTCGTGGGAACTCCAACTTAACAGTGTTTTTGACCCTTCTCGACAAATCAAACCCTTTTCCATGCTCCACACTAAACTCCATGTGGTATTTAAAAACATGTTTCAAAGTCCCTCCAGAATTAAGAGCCCCCACAACCCCAAACATCTCACGGCCCATTGCCAGACTTGAAAAGTCCAAACATCCCTGCATAGGGGGGTCTATCCAACCCCCCATTTCCAAACCAAACCAAACTTTATCTTTCCAAATCTGGCTTTTTCCAAGTTCATTTGTCAGATCCAAAAACTCATGTTCCTGCTGGGCCACAGCTCCCTCCATCTCTGGCACCCGAGGTTCAACAACATCCTCTTCCCTCATCTGATCTGTCAGAGCACACTCCTGATTTAATTCCTGGGTGGGCTCTATATAGTTACCCACTACCTGTCCGAAATTTCCGATCGCAGCAGTCATTAAGTCCGTCTTCTCATGTAGCTGTTCCAGTAGGGCACTTGTTTTACAGAAAGCACGCATCAGAGCTTCTGAATACATTGTTCTGCAAGGTCAGAAGTCTATTCCCACGATCGTAATCTGCTGCAGCTGCAGAGCTCCCCGATTCAGATTTAGTAACAGTTTCACAGGCTCCCTCTAGGGGAAGAACTTCTATTTGTTCTTTTCTTTTAAAGGCAGATCTAACAACAAAGTTTCCTTTTTCAGATATTTTGTCAATATTTGTTCCTTTAAAATGCGAAGGAGAACAATGGAATCACTATGTTTCTTTTCTTTTAACTATCTGTCAAAAACGTTTGTCTCTGGTCAATGAGCTTCCCAAAGAACGTCAGTCCTGACACCCGCTCCCAGGATCAAGACGGTGGAAAATTACTTTGCTTTACACTCTTTCTGCAGGTTTAAACAGTCCGGAAAAAATCCCCCTCTTCTCCTGCTTCCGAAGGGGTTCAACAATTTTAAATGATGAAAGTTAATCCTTTACAAGCGATTTTCTGAACTCTAGTTTGCCATGTCTTTGCTTTAATCTATCTACAAGAAACGGAAGGCTGACTTCCTGTTTAGACCTTCCCGTTTCAGTGCCAAATTGAGATGAATTTCTTAGTCCAATTTTCCTTTCTACTCGCAGGTCATTATTCAAAGTCCAATTGTCCGAAATTAAAGTACTCACGGGTAATTGTTTTAAAAGCCAAATTGTCCCAGGAAAAAGGCAGCGCTCTCCGGCAACGGCTGTGCGGCTTCGCTCCACGGAAGAAGCAGTTGACTCTCAGCACCGCGCCACTTCCCCCTCTTCGCTCCGGAGCCCGTAAATGGGTTCCTTTACGGGTTGGGGGGGCGCTAAAGGTGCCCGCCGAATCCCATGGTCACAGGCTTCATCCGCCTGTGATTTTTGAAAGGGTCCCCGCTTCGCCATAGCGGGAAAGACCCGTTTTCCGTGGAGCTGGTCCCTCCGGATCAGAGGGAGTCCGCCATTACCGATGGCGCCACCCCGGAAGTCCTTTCCTCCTTTCCTCTCACGGCTAGGACTGGAACCAATGGAAGGAGATTTCAACTAAACATCAGTAAGAACTTTCTGATAGTAAGAGCAGTTTAACAGTGGATCAGATTCCCACAAGAGGTGGTGGACTCTCCTTCCTTGAAAAATTTTAAGCTGGAAAGACACAAGACTTACCCACACTGGAGGAATGGCAGATGAAATTGATGGACTACATGGAATTGGCGGAAATGACTGGCAGAATGCGAGACCAGGGAGAAGAGTCGGTGGAAGAAGATTGGAAGAAATTTAAAGACTATTTACAGAAATATTGCAAAATTAATGAATGTTAGAATGATGTTGGATTGAAGTTAAGTGGTTTCTAGCTGTACTGGTATAAAAGAATATGGAAAAATTGGTTTTTAATATGTAAAAAGTTAATGTTATAATATATCAAGATTAAAGATTAGGATTAAAAAGGAGGGAAAGGAATTGCTGGATTAACAAATTGAATTGGAATACAAAAGAGGGAGGTATGAGGAGGTCCGGGAAACAAGCAAACGTAAAAGAAGTGATGAAAAGATGGAATTGTTTTTAACTGTTTTTTTCTTTTTTGTACTTTGTATTTTTCCTTTTTATTGTTAATTTTCTTATTAATGTGATTTTTCTTCTTTTGAAACTTTAATAAATATTATTTTTTTAAAAAGAAAATTTTTAAGCTGAGGTTGGGTTGCCATCTGTCATGTGTGATCTAGTTGAGATGCCTGCATTGCAGAAGGGTGGACTAGATGATCATCCAACTATAATTCTATGGGGGGGGGGAGTTTCCTAGTAGGCAGTTAGCTTTCCACATTCAACAGGACAACTTACCCAGCTCTCCCCAGGACTCAACGCACTTTGCTTTGCTTAAGGACAGGTATACTTTCTTCCCTCACCTCTATCTTCCATGTGACCTTGAGATATTTCAAGATGGCTATCATATTTCCTCTCAGTCTCCTCTTTTCCAGGCTAAACATACCTAGCTCCCTTAACCAGAGGTGCCAGCTTAGGTCCAAGATTTAGGGGGTGGGGGCATCGCACCATGCATGTGGGAGGACTGCTTCTGTTCTGCCAATCCAGACCACCAGGGGCTTTTTCTCTCTCCCCCCACCCACTGCCCTCACACTTACTTGCATGCACAAGGCACAGGTTACTGCTGACCAGGACCAGGACGACTGCTGGCCAAGGTACAAATCTGAGAAGAAACAAATCTGACACCAAGCATGGGTTGAAAGATTTGCCCTGTTTTACAATGGGAGCTTTAAACATGCATATCTTTATGAGGGCATTATGGTTTTCACAAACATGGGAAAACCAAGACCCTTGCAATATTCTCTACCATTTTTCTTCAAAATATATATATTTGGGGGGAGGGAGACAAAAGGAACTTTATGGGGAGTAATGGCTGTAAAAGGGAAATTGCTGGAGAAGGGAAATGGATTTAAAGTGTTGCATTTCTCAACATAGCTGCCTGAAACATGGCTAGCTCATAGCACTCATCAGGTAGATATGTCATGATAAATTACAGAAAGTTTAGACAAGTTTTCTTCATTTTATTCTTTTTTAGAACATCCAGGTTTTTATAATGGTGGAATATATCAAGCCCTCACAAATCTCACCCGCCCCCAACTTTTGCCACTATCAGTCTGCTATTGTGGTTGAAGACCTACCTGGAAATAAAGTAAATGATTGATTTCAAAATGACTACAGTTTAACTTTTAAAAAGTAATTTTACTAGTAACATGCTTCAAAAGTAGAATTTAACAAAAAAAATTATTGAGGTAAGTTAGACCCTGCAGTGTTAATTTAAATTCCTCATTAGGCTATCAGGAAGCCCTAGAGACGAAAACAGAAGATGTACAGCAGAAGTGAAATTTTGGGTTCATAGCAGAAGAGAAAACAAACAAAAAATGCCTAGATGAAATACTGAGTTCATTGTTAATTGGTTTTTTTACTTGCAAACCAATTGGAAGCCTATTTTGGCATTAAGCAGCATATAAATAAACAGATCAATAAATAACTTCAGTAAGTTCTCCCTGCCAAATTAACATTACTCAAATACCCAAAATCAGTGTTACAACTCCTGTGTCAAGACAAAGTCAACCTGGCACTGCATGACTCCCTAGAGTGGAATTTACTTCTGAGGTTCAGTGGATCTCAGCAGTGCTCTGTTATGTCTCCCTCCCTTTTTTTCTTTTGTAAACATGGGAATGAACTTCAGGTTTGTTTGTTTGTTTGTTTGTTTGTTTGTTTGTTTTATATAAAAAATGGAAAAAATATACCCCGGTGTTCTTGAAGTGGTATAGCCACAAAAATGAGCATTAATAATCATTATAATCATTTTATTATTTATACTCTGCCCAACTGGCTGGGTTTTCCCAGCCACTCTATATCATTTATGATATAGGCAGAATCCTAAGTTATTTTCCCTAATCTATTTTGAGAAAGTCTCTTACCTGTTTGAGACCCCAGTTACTTTAGGCATTTGGTAATTTTCCTTGCCCACTGATATTTGGCAAAGGACCCCTGATAACTTCACTATTTCCATGTAATCTTAAAAAAAATAGAAAAAAAGAAAAACAATAAGGATAGATTGCATCAGTGATAAGCATTGGCCTGTTCCACAAGCAGTATGCAACACACCCTTGTAGACATTATGAGTGTAGAAAGGAACATCTAATGGAATACTTTTCTGAAATTCTCAAACCAGGATACAGCAGCAACATGCCAACATCTTAGTTGCTACCCGGCTTGTCACCACCCGCATTGTCCTCCAGCATTGTCAAGCTCCAAGAAATAAACTTCTATATTATAGCAATTCTCTTAGGGACAAGATTGCCTTGCTCTGCGTGCGCTGAAGAAGCTCATGCTGAAGCCTGTTGGATGGACTGCAATTAAAATGGAAAAGCCAGCTGCTGGACCAAGATATATTTGAACAATAGATTGCAAAGAATCGGGAGTCAAAAGTTTGACTTGGCCTTGTTCCTAAACGCATCGCATATACGCCTAAAGGAGTCCGCATGAGGTAATCTGTCAACAATATGCAGCTAATGATCCTGCTGATAGAAACTGAACTGAACCGAACCAGCTGTGAGGATCAGGCTCTTCTGACAACTGAATGGGTGGGGCTAGCACTTGCCCCGCCCACTCGACCGTCCTCCCCCCTCTTCCTGTTTTCTGTTCTCTGGCGCAGGCGCGATGCGGTCCTTTAAACGTGCGCAAGGAGTTCCAGCAACCCCATTCCCCTGCTGGTTGAATCCTTCCGCCTTGGCCCTGAGGGACTTTTTCTTCTGCTTTCTTTTGCTTCTGGAGCTCCCGACGTAACTCAACGCACTTAGCTGAGCCGTTTGGATGGGGGTTCCTGCACGAGATAGGTCATTTTAGAGGCGCGCGGCGACATTTGGGGGAGGCTCCTTTCGTACCTGAGGAGAGTGGCGGAGGGAGACGCTTTGTTGTTGATGGCACAGCCTCAGCGGAGGGTATTGAGAAAGTCCAAGATGGCGGCGGCTGCCAGGCCGAGGGGACCCGGCAGGCCCTGAGTCCGGGAAGGGAGGGCTGTGAGAGCGGCACCGGGCCCGGAGAGGCACCAGGGAGACCCCGGAGAGGAGGCGGGAGCAAGGCTAAGGGGAGCGGCGACCCCGGGGAACCGCTACGGCCGAGCGGCCTAGTTAACCCTCTTCCGTCAGGCCTGCGGCTCAAGTGAGGGGGAGGGGCCGGGTATGGCCCCCTGAGGGGCCCCGGGAGGGAGGAGCGGGCGGGGGGCATGGAGTCCCGGGAGGAGCTGGGGGAGCAGACCGAGGCGGGAGACCAAGGCCCGGGAGAGTGGGCGCCTCGCGAGGAGAAAGGGGAGCGAGGGGTGCGGGGTTCGAGGGCGGAGAGAGGCCCTTCAGGCGAGAGTTGGGAGCACGGGGATTGTGGGGAGCGTGGTCCCAGGTCAGAGAAGGCCGAGCGGGGTGCCAAGGGGGAGCGAGGGGCTCCCAGGGGCGACAAGGCTGAGCAAGGGGATGGGGGTCCCCGGGGAGATCGAGCTCTTCGGGCTCCCAGAGGGGCGGACCAGGCGGGGCTGTGGGGGGCAGAGCAAGGCGAGTGGGTGGAGCGTGGCCCGGCCTGGGCAGGGGAAGCCGAACCCCCGTTGCCCCCGGAGGATTTCTTGCCGCCGCCCGAGTGTCCCGTCTTTGAGCCCAGTTGGGCTGAATTCAGCGACCCACTAGGTTACATTGCGAAAATCCGGCCCATCGCAGAGAAGAGCGGCATCTGCAAGATCCGCCCTCCTGCCGTAAGTATGGAATACTGTGGGCAAGGGGACACGAGTTGGGGGGCGCCCGTGGATTTCGGAGTAGCCCGTGCCTGCCAGTGGGCATGCGGAATTTGGAACAGCAGGTTCTTGGTGTGCGACAGGCAGGTGCTTAGAGCAGGTGAGGGCCGTTGGGGCTAGTGTCGGCAAGTGGAGTAGATTGAGTGGGAATTATATTGGGGTGCTCCCCTTTCAGTGGGTGAGAGAGTTCAATTTCAAGAAGCACCAGTGACAGAGCTTGGGTGTGGATAACATGACTTTAAGGATATGGGGCTGTTGTAACTCCTGAAAGGAATTATTGACAGCTGTCATAGTTATGGAAGGAGTAGAGTGTGGTGTGGAAGATGTATGGCCTTGGTGGGTTTGAAATATTTGGGTTCTTCCAGCAAGCCATAGCAGTGGGAGCCAACCCAGTGCCCACCAGAGGTTGTTGAACTCCAGTTCCCATCAGCACCAACCAGAGTGGCCTAAGATCAAGGATGATTGGAGTTGTAGTCCAACAATATCTGGAGATCACCACGCTAGGTGTTTTTAGTCTTTGGGATGCTTGTCTTGGCATGATAATAAGAATGGATACGTAGCATCTGTGGGTGCTAGAGGCAGTTTGGGAGCTGAGCCATCACATTGGAGCATCACTTGTGACATAATCAGTGAATGGATGCTGAGTAGATGAGCAAGTTGATGGAGTGATTGGCTTTGTTTGGAAGAATGTTGATTCTCTGTCTTCATAGTATTTGTATCAACCTCTGTCATATTTTTGTGGACTTGGAAGAGGCTTCAGTTTCTGATTGCGTTGTCAAGATGTGGTGAAATGTGTGTTTTGATGTAGAGCTTGTTCTTTTGCAAAGTTGTAGAAGTTGTAGATTGGGTTATCTCCTGCTTCTATTACTTCATGATTATTTCTACATTCTGATGTCTCATGAATTTCTTAGTTTTTCCCTTGCTGGGCCTCAGCTGTAAACTGCACTACAGCTAACAGTTGCATTCAACAGTGATGAGGTTAAGCTTATATTATTGATTTGCATGTATGTTATTTAGTTCTTTCCCTGTTGTATTATTTTGATGCAGGGGAACTGGTCATAGCCTAAAGATTTCAAAACCCAAAACAGAAAGCATTTCTGTAATGTCCAAGTGACATAAACTTTGTCTAAGAAGCAGTAAAGGGAAAGGCTAGTAAGTATTATTAGAGCAATGCTGCTTTTCTAGCAGAGATTGTATCAAACGAGGCATTGCATAGAGTTTTGATTCTTCTGTGGGACCAGAAGAGATGGTGAAATGGAATTCAGGTAGGTGTGTCTAGAGGAGAGGGCCCATCTGTTTTAGCATTTCTTGCCCTCTGGTCCCACTTAAGCTATTGAAACAACTCCACCCACCCTTCTTTCTCTTCTTCACTGAGAAACTATTGTGGTTTTTAGTCAGTGTACCAACGTCTGTCCAGTGAATAGCTTTTTTGTGAAGGTAAAATGGAACATTTTGAACAAGTGGTTTGTTCCACATTTGTTTCTAGAGAGGTATATGCTGTCGTTCAAACTAGTCAGTGTCCTCCATATCGACTGTTTCTGCTGTAGTCAAGCTTGATGTAGGATGGGAACCTGGACAGTGTGAGTCTGGACAATGATGTGAGTCTGGACAATGGTGCCTAAGAGTTGTCTTGTTAACATGTTTGGTTTCCCTCTTCCATTTTTAGGTTTTGGAATTTTAAGAGGCATTACTGTTTGATATCTTTGTCATGATTTTGTGTGTGTGCTAACATTTAGTAGAATGTAAGGCATTGTAGATCTGCTTTATTCCTTAAGCAAGCATTTCACTAGAAATCAGCAGTGTGATAAAATGCCTTGCAACTGAGAAAACAGGAATTTTCCAACTTAGTCTGCCTCTTAAGTTTATTTTTTTTAGTTGAGTTATACTGTTAGAAACCAATAAAATACTATTCTTTGCTGCCACGAGTCCAAGAAATAGCACATATTTATATGAATCATATCGGAAAGGGGGGACACAAATCCTGGTGGCTGTTCAAGCTGATCGAAATTAAAATGTGCAACCATCAATTTGACCCACTTTTGTTACGAGACCTGGAATCTCTCTGTCTCCCTCCCCCCCTCTCTCTCTCTCTCTCTCTCACACACACACACACACACACACACACACTCCTTCACAGGCCTTCCCTTGTCTTTATGTCTGGCATTTGATGACCATAAGCAGTTGCCCCACCCTTGAAGTGCCTGTGTATCAGCATCAGCATAGTTCAGTTCCTGTATGTCCAGTGCCTTGGGGAAGAATATTGCTAATGGGTGAAAGAGACACTGATGATGTCCTGTACTTCTATCTGTATAAGTGGTCCAGATGAAGACATACACATGCGCACCACTTTACACTGCCTAATGCATTCATGCTTCACTAGGAGGCATCCATGTGGAAAGCTAGGCCTCTTTCAAGTGTCAGCTGTGTCTCTGCTTGATCTCTCTTGTGTATGGGGGGCTGTTTTGTTGTTACATCAAGGGTATTCCCCCTTCTGCCAAAGTTTTCCTGTTTTTAATCTAACTAACGTGCTTAAGCAGTCTAAGCTTAAAATCAAATGGGATCCTGTGAGACTACTTTCTGAGTTTCAAGGCACGTAGATATTTAGCTTAATCCTTGCTCATGGTGGTGTGTTGTGAGCAAAAGTACTGGAATCTCTTGCTGTTTAGATTTAAAAGATTTACATGTGTGCACAAAGAGCATTGGGATCCTAACCACACCATCTTTCCCTCTCATTCTCAGGACTGGCAGCCTCCCTTTGCTGTGGAAGTGGATAACTTCCGGTTTACCCCACGAATACAGAGGCTCAATGAACTAGAGGTGAGTCTTGCAAGTGTACAGACAGAGAACTGTAAGGTTCCTTGCACATTTTTGATAGAATGAATAGGCTAGCTAATACAGATGCCGTGCCTTCTTGTTTTTTGGTACTGGAAAAGGTTATCAGGAGAAGCCTTTAATCAATTGCAGCAAAATTAATATAATTCAAGAAATATGAGAGCATCCTGGAGGATAATGAGAAATTGTGGGATTTCTGGGTTTAATGGCTGTCAGATTTGTATGTAGTATATTTATTTGTATTGTAGTAATTGTTTTACAATGTATTTTAAGGGTTTCCCCACATCTTCATTGCTTTAATTAGAGTATCTATGATTCTCTGCTCTTGTTCTTTCTTCTCTTGTACTTTTCAAATAATTTATGTGCATAAGGTACTGGCAAGATGGTACAATCCTATACATGTCTACTCAGAAGAAAGCCCCATTGAATTCAGCGAGTCTTTCTCCCACTTAAATGTGTATAGGATTGCAGCTTGAGTTGTATTTGATGAAATAAGTGAACATTCTGAGGCTGCAATCCTAAATGCACTTGTTAAGCCCTGTTGGAGGCACTGAGAATTACTTACATAGGATTGTGCTGTAAGGAGTTAAGGTGTGAGATGGTGACCTAGCACTCTAGCTTCCTTTTTGGAGTGAAGTAGTCAAAGTTTAAAGTCTTAGCTACGTAGATGAGAAAAGTTGAAATATTACTATAGTGCACATGTCTAAGCCGAGTTCAATGAGTGTGTCTGCTATCTACAAAACTGATTTCATCATGGCACCATGAAAATATGTTAGAGGTCAGTAATTGGTGATTGAAAGATTCCATAATTAGTCGGAAACTAACGTAAGTCATTGATATGAGAAAAGCTGACTGCAGTTTGTCATGTCCCTATTACCAGGCACAGACCAGAGTGAAGCTGAACTATTTAGACCAGATTGCAAAGTTTTGGGAAATCCAAGGTTCTGCACTGAAAATCCCCAATGTAGAGAGGCGAATCCTTGACTTGTACAGCCTCAGCAAAGTAAGTTGGAAACTAAATTCCTCCATTGAAAATAAGCTATTCCTTAAAAACAGAGATGGGAGATAATATGTAAAGTTTAAAAGGGATGGTAGAATGAATGGATTTCATTACTGGTTTGGTGAAGGGACTGCCAGGGCTCAGCCTTGGGTTGCTGTGGATCATGATTTGGAGACAGGGATAGGAAAAACCGAGTATGATACTGGAATATGCATTCCTTTTGTGTGATGATTGTGTGGAATTAGCCAAGCTTGGGAGGAATAGTATTTCTCAATATTTTTGTATTCCAGATTGTGATGGAGGAAGGTGGATATGAAGCCATCTGCAAGGATCGGCGGTGGGCACGAGTGGCTCAACGCCTTTCCTATCCATCGGGGAAGAACATTGGATCCCTTCTTCGCTCCCACTATGAGCGCATAATCTACCCTTATGAAATGTACCAGTCCGGTGCCAACCTGGTGGTGAGTAGCAGATCTCTTTACAACAGTGTTCCGTAACTTCTTAAAACCTCATTGCGCTTGCCATTTCCTTCTTATTTTAGATGCTTATAGGAAAGATTGGAACCTCCTGAATGCATTCCCCTTGGGAACTATTCTGTTCTGGAAAAGGATTTTTTTGTAGGCAGGAAGGCAGAGACTTGAGCTGCACAAAGATGTCATGTGCTCCCTTGTGTTAGTCTCTTGCTCTTGTGGGAGAGCTGGATTGCTATCTGATCCCTAGTGATGGGGTCACTGTAGTCATGAGGTCTGTTTGGTGCTAATTCTACTCTCCCCCAGCAGTGCAATACCCATCCATTTGACAACGAAGAGAAAGACAAGGAGTATAAGCCACACAGCATCCCATTGCGCCAATCAGTTCAGCCATCCAAGTTCAACAGCTATGGGCGCCGGGCCAAGCGTCTGCAGCAGGAGGTGAGTATAAGACACACCTTCAGCCCTAATTACAATTTTTGTTCTAGGTTGGGCCAGTCACTAATTCCCAGGGCTGTTACACACATGCATCTCCCTGACTCTGCAGAAAGCCTTGTTTCTTCCTAGACCTGCTGGGGTGCATCCCTCCCACATAAAGAAGTCTTGTCCTCACAGGTCTTAAAGACTGGAAATGTTTGTCTTTGGCTCTTCTGGGACAAAGCATTGCTTTTGGAAGGAACAAGCTCAGTGATTTTAAATTTCTATAGCAGGAAGAGAAAGGAATGGTGATAAGACCAAGTAGATGAGAGTTTACAAACGTGGGTGTTCTTTTCTATAGAAGGGATATTGCCTCACATTTTTGTGTGCGTGCTTCATCTTTATGAGCAAACAATGTAGGTTTAAGCCTTAGTCAGCTGTGAACCACTAAAGGTTTATTGGAATGTAGTTTTGGGTTTTTTTAAAAAAATGTTTTGTTTTTTGTTGTTTGGTTGGTTTTAAGAAAGCAAAATCTGACTATTCTTGTACCTGTATAGTATGTGTAAATGTTGAATCTAGTTGTTTAGAGCATGTTCAAGGGACAGGTGTGTTTATGCATTTTAATTAATTAAAATACATAAGCTGCTTTGCAGCAGCTTCTTTGAAAGTGGCATGCAATAAAATAACTAAAATATGATAAAGATTCAATAAAAGAACAGCAGACACCATGTCATTAATAGTTGGATTAAAATATGCTGGTTTGTGGAGTACGGATTATTCCAAGCTGAAGGCCTGCCTAAAGAGGCTGTCTTTCAGTAGAGGAAAGGGGTAGAGCAGACTCACAAGAAAGAGCATTCCAGAGTATGGGTGCTGCAGCTTGAGGGAGCCCTGTCCTGCATAGCCACTTGCTATCCTTTTTTCCAGAGGTAGGGAAAACTCATAGGTGAAAAAGCATATTATCACAGTGGGAAGTTGTCAGCTGCATTCCAGTAGCGGGTGGGGGGCCACCAACCCCAAAAGTGGATGGAGCCAGACCACACAGTCATATTCACACACACTCACACGCAAAGCTATTTCCCATGGAAACGGAGACGTATGTTTAATTCTTAGTAGATCTGCTCTAGTTTCACCATTTCTAGTTTGTTTTTAAAAGTGTAAAAAAAAAGTTCTTCAAAACCCTTTATCCTGACTGCAAAAAGCACACAAAAAACAAAAAATACCCTATAATACCAGACGAAGAATGCAGAAAACCTCAATGCATCGCTAAACTTCAGGCCCTGCTTTGCAGCTATTCAAAGCCTCATTTCATGCATTCAGTTGCAATATGTACAGATGCTTTTTGCATATTTGCCAGGAACACAAGACTACCTCTTGGCTGATCTTCTTACAAAGAAAGGATCTGCATTTGCACACTTTGCACAACACCAAAGCATTTTTCCCTCTCAGCCATTCCCTGCTGAACAGCTGATAGGTGGGAGTGGAACTGGCGAGCCTGAAGGAGTTCCGCTGAGTTCTGTATCTGGTTCAGAAGTTGGGAGTTCCCAGTCCCTGCTTTAGGCAGTGGTGGAACATGGAGCAAGACCTTTCTGCCATATCTCAGCGGGTGAGCAGGATCATGAAGAGCAAACAACATTTTGGATGTCCTTGGCCCAGCCTTTTAAGAACTTCTTTCAGGGTTGGCAGGGACATGAGTCTTGTGGTTAACAGTGTGCAATTGGAGTGTAGCCTCATATATTTCGTTTTCAGTTATAAAATGAAAGACACAACCGATAATGGTAAAGGGGTTGGGAGTTCCTCATCTTTAGGAGCATGGAAATTTATTGGGGTATGTCTCGCAAACAAGGTTAAATCTTTGGCATGAATTAATCTGAAATAACCTCATGATTCCATGGTCTTCATCATGAATATGGATTAGAATCCCCACTTTGTCTGTTTACAGTGAAAGGATAGCTCAGAACCCACATTTTCCTACTCTCAAAACTCTGAAAGAACTAGGGTGACAGCATGGTTTAAAGGTGTGAAGGGCTAGCTAATCTATATTAAGGTGCCTTGGGTGTCTATAGAGGATGAGGGGCGGTGGTAAGAATTAAAATTTCAGGATTATTTCTCCCTTCCCACGTTTTAAGCTTTGCTGTGTTGCTGAATAGTTCCTCTCTTGATTCCCCATCAGTAAAATGAGCCAAAAAATAGTTTTCCTCCCCTTTTCTTCTTGCCCCTTCCCCCACCATGACTACCCTGAAATTCTTGAGGAATTCCAGGGGGAGAGTAAAGCCTAACCAGTTGTAGCTCCATTGTAGCAGATGGCTTTCAGTTGTAAGGCACCTTAATTCCTTTCATTTCTAGATGTTCAAGAAAAAGAAGTCGTAGACCAGGCAGCCATCTCCTTCATTACAATCCAGTACTACTCCCTTCATTAAAATTCCTGCAGCCCTGTTGTTGATCCCTACTCCCCACTCATTTTGTCGCCCTCCTACAGGAATCCGAATCGTGCCTTGAGCCTCCCAGCGCCCCAGCTCTGTTACCTGAGCGAGCGCCTCAAGCATGGGTACAGTTCCTGTTCTGTCCATCTCTCCTGCCTCTCTCTTACTCTTACTTATCCTGCTTCATGGCTGGAAGTCCATAGACCACATAAAATGAGAAATACGGCCTAAGGAGACTAAATCTCCCATAATACACTCTTGACTTTTGTTTATGTTGCAGTATGGCATGTTTCACATCAGGGATGTATGTAATCAAGAATTCCGTTGCACAATGTGAGGTTCTGCCCCAGGAGCTCAGTCACAGCTTAGCACTATCCTTGCATTATCCAGTTCTCCCTATGCAACAGTTCTTCTCCCCAGTCTATCTTCTACTGTTGCTTTCCTTTGCTGCTGCTTTCTTTGAGTGTTTGTGACACCGTTTAAGGCTGGTAACCTTATATAGTTATCCCCTTTCTAATTACACCTTCCTTGCAGCCAGAGCCAACAGAGGAAGACATTGAGAAGAATCCAGAACTGAAGAAACTGCAGATTTATGGTGCTGGGCCTAAAATGCTCGGTTTGGGGCTTGTGGCCAAGGACAAGAATATGCGCAAGAAAGGTGGGAATTGTGAGCTAGCCCTGCATTTGAAAAGCCAGAGGCAGAGTCGGCCCTCTCCATTCCTAAGGTTTTTTCTCCCCAAATATAGACAAGGAGATGCCTGAGTGCCCTCCAACAGTGATAGTGAAAGAGGAGGCCCCTGTTCCGGAGACTAAGCTGGAGCCCGCATCACCCCGACGCTATGCAAACATGAAGGAGGAGCTGAGGCACAGTCCAGAACCTTGCACCAAGATGACAATGCGCCTGCGTCGCAACCACAACACTCAGTTTGTAAGTGGAATCTTCTGTGTTTGCTACTCATTAGTCAGGTGCCCTCCATTTGCCCCTCTATATCCTGCCGTTGCATTAAGTATCCTTTGTTGGCGGAGGAGGGCATCTAGAGCGGGTTACCTCCTCTCTCTTGTTCAAGGTCTCAGGATCTCATTTTCCTCTTTATCTGTGATGGGATGGATCAAGACTGACTAATAGATGCTGGTTGCAGGGAGATCACAGTCACACTTTGCCTGCTTGTATTCAATAGCTGAATCACCGTCCTGTACTTTCCTTTGGAACATGCAGTGATGGCTGCTGTCAAAGAAACACCATTGATAGGGTTTAGCAGACGCATCTTCTTGATTCTTATATGAGTGCTTAGGGTTTGCTCCATTTTCTTCCAGATTGAGTCTTTTGTTTGTCGTATCTGTGCACGGGGAGATGAGGATGACAAGCTCTTGTTATGTGATGGCTGTGATGACAACTACCACATCTTCTGCCTATTGCCCCCCTTACCTGAAATTCCAAAAGGCGTCTGGAGGTGTCCTAAATGTGTCATGGCGGTAAGGGGTCCCTTTCTGCCTCGTGACAGCAGGCACAGTGGAACATTTCTTGCACGTCTAGATGTGAAGATGCCTGATCTAAATGGATCTGGTTTTGATTAAAAAATAATTATGAATCTACTGCTAACCTGATCATCATTGATAATTTGGTGGGAGGGGGCAGTGGCCATGTCTGAATCCTTTTACTTATTTTTTTCTGTCTTTGTTCTTCCAAAGGAATGCAAGCGCCCCCCAGAGGCTTTTGGGTTTGAGCAGGCCACTCGAGAGTACACACTACAGAGCTTTGGCGAGATGGCAGATACTTTCAAGGCAGACTATTTCAATATGCCTGTACATGTGAGTCACAGTACCCTCACTGTAGGTTAGGCCATGGGCTAGTAGGACCAACTTATTTCTGGGAAGGTTGTGGAATATGCTGGGTGCTGGAAGCAGGGAACACAGTATCCTGTTCTTTTGCAGATTCTGCCATGCAGTTTCTAGTGTCTTGAGTTTAAAAATGTGGGGTCTGTATTCTTGACTTCTTCCTCTGCTTCTTTTCCCAGATGGTGCCAACAGAGCTGGTGGAAAAGGAGTTCTGGCGCTTAGTAAACAGCATTGAAGAAGATGTAACAGTGGAGTATGGGGCTGATATCCATTCCAAGGAATTTGGAAGTGGCTTCCCCATCAATGATGGCAAAAGGCAGCTCTCTCCAGAGGAAGCGGTGTGTACCCTATTGAAGGCAGACATCCTCTTGCCTACATATCTTAAGCCCCTCACCCTTTGTAACTTGAGGCTTACATTGTACTACTAGCCTTACCCTCTTCCTTAGCTCTCTACATGTGATTGCAGGAGTATGCAGCTAGCGGCTGGAACCTCAATGTGATGCCAGTGCTGAAGCAATCGGTGCTATGCCACATAAATGCTGATATTTCGGGCATGAAGGTTCCATGGCTCTACGTGGGCATGGTGTTCTCTGCTTTCTGCTGGCACATCGAGGATCATTGGAGTTACTCTATTAACTACCTCCACTGGTAAGACATTGGGGTGTGGAGGGGAGGGGCCATGGAGGCTGGATTTTGTTGTCGAGTGCAAGGCTTCTCTAAAGGCAGCCCAAGTGGGAAGTAAGAAAGTCACTATTACAAAGAGTAAAAATTTAAAAATCACAAATAAGGGTGAAGGAATATTTTATTTTATTTTTATTAAATCTAAATAGAAAGACAGATGAAAGAGAAAACAGTGAACACAAGTCCGCTTTCATGGCACTTTGCATGGAATTTAGAGGACCCCAGAAAGAATTCTGCTATAATGGAGCTCACATTATATAGTCTTTAAATAATAAGCCTTTAAGATTAGCAGTGCAGCGAGCACGCTTTCTTTTGTTACTCTGTCAGTTTTCCTCTCTTTTTCTGACTTCCTTCACTACCACCTGTTTTTGAACCTTGATGTGAACCAGTTTGGGAGACAAAATTTGTCTGAAATAAAATTTGCCTCTTTCTATACACTTCAGTAACCATATGTCTTGAGGGGGCATTTTGAGGCTGCAAATCAGTGGATGCTCAGGCTGCCTTCTCCCGTATTTTAGGGATAGCTGAAAGCAGCACTTCCTGACTCAATTTCTTTTTCAGGGGTGAGCCCAAAACCTGGTATGGGGTCCCATCATTTGCTGCTGAACATCTGGAAGATGTAATGAAGAAGCTGACCCCAGAACTGTTTGAGAGTCAACCAGACTTGTTGCACCAGTTGGTGACGCTCATGAACCCCAACACACTCATGGCTCATGGGGTCCCAGTGAGTAATCTATCTGTCTAAGTAGCATGTATGTGTGTCTCCCTTGCACTGCCCTGTTCTCATTGCTTCCCCCTGTATGCTTCTGCAGGTTGTCCGAACCAACCAGTGTGCTGGAGAGTTTGTCATTACCTTCCCTAGAGCCTACCACAGTGGTTTCAACCAGGGCTATAACTTTGCTGAAGCAGTAAACTTCTGTACTGCTGACTGGGTGAGTCATATTTCTGCATTTTTAGAATATTTTTCTTGTAAGAAAGAGTGTGGTGGGCTACCAAAGCAGGACTTCAGGGTGATGAACGTGGGTTGCAGTTTATGACTGTGGAGTATGTAAGGTTCACCTGACAATCCTGGGAGCCAGAGATCCTCAGTTGTATTGACGAATGGACTTCTTTCTTTTTCTTCTTAGTTGCCAGCTGGTCGCCAGTGCATTGAGCACTACCGCCGCCTCCGTCGATATTGTGTGTTCTCACATGAGGAGCTTATCTGTAAGATGGCTGCTTGCCCTGAGAAGCTGGACCTGAACTTGGCAGCTGCTGTGCACAAAGAGATGTTTATTCTGGTGCAAGAGGAGCGCAAGTTGCGCAAGGCTCTTCTTGACAAGGTGCAGGGAAATATGATGGGTATATGATGCAGGGGCAGGGAACAATTGTATGATAGCTGTGGATGCCTGAGCAGTTGATCATTGTTTCTTCCCACCCCAGGGTATCACGGAGGCAGAGCGGGAGGCCTTTGAGCTGCTCCCAGATGATGAGCGCCAATGTGACAAGTGCAAGACAACATGCTTCTTGTCAGCACTAGCTTGCTATGATTGTCCAGATTGTCTTGTCTGCCTCTACCACATCAATGACCTCTGCAAGTGCCCCAGCAGCAAGCAGTACCTCAGGTGGGCAGAAAGAAGTAGACTGCTTTGTTTGTTCATTTAAATGCATTTATAAACAAATTTAGACTTATAAAAAGCTCTAAGCAGTGCGTAACAAAAAAACAAAATAAAAAATTACATAAAAGCAACAAAACAGTTTAAAAGCACATGAAAAGAAGAAATCAGGTAATTTAACCAGCCAGAGCAAAAAGACATGTAAATGCAAGACATGTAAATGCGTTATTTTGAACAAGTTATTTGTCTCCACCCCTTATTTGTATTTGTTTCCCTACATCTGGCTGACTGGCCCTTTCAGCGCTGAAGGCCTGAACTAGGTGATTTGAGTATTATAGCATTGGAAACATGTGACACTGCTTTTTTTTAAAAAGCAGCTAAGATCTTAAGACTGTTTTCTTGGTGTCACTTTAGAGGAGAGGTGCTGAGTTGGACACAGGGAAATGTATGGTTTATGACTCCTGAAGTGTTACTAGGCTCAGCTTCCGTATAGGTGAAATCGTCATGACTGTCACACTTCATTCAAAAACAAAATTAACATAAGCAGCCATCTGCCTAGCACACAAAATTGGCAACAGTCACAACTGTTCTAGGAGTGATGTGTTTACCCCAGTGGTCCACACGGCAGCATCTTGGTACCCTGACTCAGATGTTGGGGTTGGGAGACACCCTGGGAAAAAAGGGGGGGCGGGCTTGGGAAACTTGTTGAGAACATTGCAAGAGAATGGCACATCTGTGCCTGCCTGACATTTCAGGCTTGCATGTGGAAGTTTGGAGGATACCTTATTACTATGTTAAGAGTGCTCTGAAGTGCTCCTATAAACCTCTTGTCTGTAAAAAGGCTGCAGAATAGGAATACTGAAGGTTTCACTTTTTCAGAGATGCTAACTTGGAAGTGAGAAGCAGTAGCCGTTAGTAACTATGACACAATGAAAGTGATAGGAAGATTGACACTAAAATAAATTGTAGGTGCATTCAAAGTCTTAAAAAGATGGTGTGTTGCTTTGTGAGAGGAGGAAATAATAGTTTCAGTACAGGTTGTTAGGTATGATTTGATGGTTGATGAATGGACTTTTGTGGGCTTTGCTCTGATTTTGAGATCAGACTGATCCCTTCTTTTTACTCCTCCATTCAGGTATCGGTACACTCTGGATGAGCTCCCAGCCATGTTACACAAGCTGAAGGTTCGAGCTGAGTGCTTTGACATGTGGGCCAACAAGGTTCGAATTGCTTTGGAAGTCGAAGATGGACGCAAAAGAAGTAAGTGACCTTGGGCTTCTTATTTCTTAAGGCACTGGTGTCTTCTAACGAATAAGGTTAATCTCTATGGTCTCAGTGGGGAAGTGTGCAATTATCCCCCAAGGCCCTGCATACAGGCTGAGGTATGATGTGAGCAGAAAGTATGCACCCTTGCTGTAAGCATTAGGACTTCCTTTTGTTAAGTAGAATGTGAGAAAAGCAGTGATAAGTGGGACACGGTAGTAGGAACTGAAGCATAAAATTCAGAATGAGAGTGATGGAGCTGGGAATCAGGTAATGTGTCACCCAATGATTGAGAGACAAGAATCCCACAATCGTTGGAAAGCTTTTGGCAACTCATGGGCTTTTTTCTGACCTGGGTTCCTGAGGTTGATAGCAGGAGGTGTAGCTGAAGAGGTGTAATTGGCTCTGAACTTCATGGAGTGTGTCTGCTCTTGCAGCCTTGGAGGAATTGCGTGCCCTAGAGTCCGAGGCACGTGAGAGGAAGTTCCCTGAGAATGAGCTCCTTCATCGACTCAAAAGCTGCTTGAGTGAAGCAGAGAAGTGTGTCTCAGAGGCCCTGGGTCTGATAAGCAGCCAAGAAACTGGGTGAGTGAAGACTGCAGATAATGAGTTTTATATACAACAATATAAAGTGTGGATGGCATAGTCTTGCATCCAACTTTATATGTCCATTGGGCTGAGGCAGTCCGTTTTCCAGGGTGCCTCTTCTGCAGGGACACTCTTCTTTGTTTTCATCGTACTGTATTGGTGAGGGGGCTGTTTTCTTCAGTAGTTTTCTGTGGGATCAAGTTTTGTTGTGTTTCTCTCTTTATAGCTGCTAAGTGCATTCTGTCCTTTTTCCTGCTTGCTCTTACAGGGAACCATCAGTCCATATGACAGTGGAAGAATTACGTGTTTTCCTAGAGCAAATGAGCAACTTGCCTTGTGTCATGCACCAAATCAAAGAAGTCCAGGTGGGATAATTGGTGGTGTATTGTGGCCCCCTGCCACAACTGGAGATATATTGTGCTCCACTGGGAACACTGATGACTGGTGTTGCTTTCTAGGTGAAAGGAATCTGTCTGACTTGATGATATGTATCATATTCTAGGGTGTGTTGGAGAAGGTGGAAGCTTTCCAAGCTGAGGTTCAGGAAGCTCTGCAGGATCTCCCAGGCAACTCCCCAGAGCTGCACAGACTGCTGGCTCAGGGAACATGCCTAGGGGTGGAGGTGCCAGAGATGGAACTACTGGAGAGACAGGTGCAACAGGCTGTCTGGCTGGAGGAGGTCAAGCAGACTCTGCGTTCACCCCAAGATAAAGTCACTCTATCTGTTATGAGAGCACTCATCACCTCTGGTTGTGGGGTTGCACCTAGCCTTGCTGTGGACAAAGCCATGGCTGAACTACAGGAGTTACTCACTATTGCCCAGCGTTGGGAAGAAAAAGCCCAGATGTGCCTGGAGGCCAGGTGAGGTTTAAGCACCATTGTTGACAGGGAAGAGTTCAGATGTCTGAGTATTCACAGCTCTTGTTGGGAGGGTTCACCTCAACAGAACTTAGTTATTTGTGTATGTGCCAAAACATGCCCATGAAAATCCTTGTCTGATGACTTCCCTCCCCATCACTTGCAGGCAGAAGCACCCACCAGCTACACTAGAGGCCATCATCAAAGAGGCAGAGAACATCCCAGTGCACCTGCCCAATATCCTGTCACTCAAGGAGGCTCTTTCTAAGGCACAGGCTTGGATTGCTGATGTTGAGGAGATCCAGGTGTGCTGTAGCCCTGAGGATTTGGGTAACTTTGCTGTAAAGGCCCCAGAATCACACAGTAACCTCTTCAATATGTACTATAACCTCTTTACAGAATGGGGATCATTATCCTTGCCTGGATGACCTGGAGGGGCTTGTAGCTGTGGGTAGGGATTTGCCGGTGCGTCTGGAGGAACTGCGTCACTTAGAAGTGCAAGTGGCTACTGCACATTCCTGGCGGGAAAAGGCTTCCAAAACCTTCCTCAAAAAGAATTCCTGTTACACGTTACTTGAGGTTAGTGATGGCATTGTGCATGTGAGATGGGTGGATGCCATTCTAGGGCCTGACCTCTTGAATCAAAGGCTTCATCCCTCGCCTCTTTCTCCCAGGTGCTGTGCCCATGTGCTGATGCCGACTCGGACAGTGTCAAACGCACCAAGTGGCAGCGGGAGAAGGAACCAGGCCTATACAAATCTGATACAGAAAGCCTGGGCCTCTCAGCACAAGACCTCAGGGACCCTGGCTCCGTTGTGAGTGGCTGGCTTGAGAGGGCTGTTTGTATTATGAATGGGATCTGGGGCCTTTTCTCCTATGAGAGGTGTTGGTTCTGAACTAGCCCCAGGTTGGCAGGATTGTTTCTCATACCTTCACCTGCAATGGTGATGGATTTGATTTGATCTAATATTTCTGAGCTCAAAGCAGCTCACAGTCATCACAATAGCATTAAAAAACAACAGACACTGCAATCACTATACTATCAAACACAGTAACACATGAATAAAGCAAACAACAAATTCTTCAAAATGATTGATACAATTCAATAAAATCATAGCAATGCTTTAGATATTTCGGAGGTCCATATTCAAAATTTAATGATTCTGAAAGCAAGTAGGACTGCATTGCTATTGAAATATAAAAATTGATATGGTGGACTTGTGCTTTTGTAGATGAGTACAGTGGTGCCTCGCAAGACGAAATTAATCCGTTCCGCGAGTCTCTTCGTCTTGCGGTTTTTTCGTCTTGCGAAGCACGGCTATTAGTGGCTTAGCGGCTATTAACGGCTTAGCGGCTTTAAGAAAAAGGAAACAAACTCGCAAGAACTCGCAAGACGTTTCGTCTTGCGAAGCAAGCCCATAGGGAAATTCGTCTTGCGGAACGACTCAAAAAACGCAAAACCCTTTCGTCTAGCGAGTTTTTCGTCTTGTGAGGCATTCGTCTTGCGGGGCACCACTGTACTGAAGAATCTGGGAAATGGGTGGCATGTCTGGATTTCTGCTAATAACTTGCTTTAGTTCAGAGTTGGGGTAGCTGTAACCTTCCAGCTCCTATAAATGCCCAACCAGATAGTGCAGCAACATCTGGAGGACCACAGATTTCCCATCACTAATCTAGTAGTACCTTGTTTGGAGAAGGGGAAATTAGGTTCTAGTGAGGAGAATGGGATTCTGCTTAAGTTTTTACTTCTGCGTAATCACGACTATGTAACCTTGTGCCAGCAGATCTTGGCCTTCAAAGAAGGCGAGCAGAAGGAGAAAGCGGGGATCCTACGCCTACGTCAGTCAAATGCCCAGAAGCCTGTGCCATCAACGCACAGTCCTCCTGGGGGCCAGTACTGTGTATGTTCCCAGCCTCCAAGCCCTGCTATGCTGCAGTGTGAACTGTGTCAGGACTGGTTCCACACCACCTGTGTGGCTTGGCCCCGCCTTGGCAACCCCCGCCCCTCTCCTGCATGGTGGGAATGGGAAGCAAAATTCCTCTGCCCACTCTGCCAGCGCTCTCGCCGGCCCCGCCTGGAGACGATCCTGGCTCTGCTTGTAGCCCTACAAAAGCTTCCTGTGCGACTGCCTGAGGGAGAAGCTCTACAGTGCTTGACAGAGCGAGCCATTACATGGCAGGACCGTGCCCGCCAGCTCCTAGCCTCCTCAGATGTAGCAGCTGCCTTGGAGCGTCTGGCGGGGCTGCGGCAGCGACTGGTTGGAGATTCGGCCAAGGAGGCAGGTGCTCTCAAAGAGAGCAGCTGTAATGAACAGACCAAGGTAAGTGAGTACAGGGGGAGATGGGTTGGTTTTTAGTGCTAACTAGTCAAGTCTGGATTGGGAGCGTAAGTGTGGTGCATGTATTTGTCTTTCATATAGGTGTGTTTGCTTTCCAGTGGCAGAATGTTCTTATTTTGTAGAAACGTCAGCTTAGCAATAACAATAAAAAGTAAATGTATAGATTTTCTGTCCAAATAGGTATCTAAATGAGACTGGTGGTTATAATCCACATGTTCCATTGTAGAAAGAGCAGTGAAATCTTCGTACAGTTGTGCAGTCAGTGGATGGTGGGTGTTCATCCTTCCAGCCTTTGCAATAAGGAACTTCTTTTGTTGTACATTTGTTAGTGCCCATGCCTACTGGCAGAATTCTGAATACACTTTACTGTATTTGGGGCCTTCGAAGAATTTGGTAATTTTGGCTTTAAAAAAATGTAAATTACAAAAAGATACTGTAGGGAGGGAGATAAGGAGGAACAATAATCTTTCTTTTTTACAAAAAGAAGTGCTGGAACCATTAATATGCAACAGAATGGAACCACTTGGAAAAATACAATTCTTTTCCAGCTTCTGAATCTTAAATCTTTTCATCTGTTCTGGAAACCAAATCATTATTTGATTCAGATCAATATGTGAAATTCATCTCCCACCCCTATTGCTTGGCCTTCATCTCCCTTGCCACACTGCTATAATAACAGGAGGAGCCACTGCTGCCAGAATTTTCCTGCATCTAGCCCTTATACACCCCTGCCTGCCCACTTCCTGTTATTAATGTGCAGTTATCCTATCGCCAGACACTGTGTGTTATTTTGCCCCACGTCCATCACCCATTGGTTCTTCAGGCCACTGTCTAGTTTATCCCACTTGGTTTTAGCCACCCTCTTTCTGGACCACCACCTCCAGCATTCCTCTCTCTCTCCGTCACTTAGTATGCAGCACCTCTCCTTAAGCACTGGAAAGTTCATTCAGTGTCCTTTTCTGCTTTTCTTGATTAGTCCCTTGCCTCAATTCCTAGTTTTCTCTGCATTTCTGCAAGCCTTTTTCTCCTGACACTTTCTACAGGTCTCTCATTGTATTGCCTATTATGAACCCCCCTTTCCGTAGCTGTTTCATGTCCTGGGACCTCCTCACAGTCCTTAGACTGTGTGTGAGATTTCAGCCTCACCCAAACCTACCACTTTCTTCCCTCAAAAGCTGGTTTGCCAACTGCTTTGTTCCTTAAACAGCTGAGCATTCCAATCCATCACACCAGTTTAGCCACTCTGTCTCTCAAAGGTTTGAACATGACAAAGTGTGATGTAATATACATCTTTTGAATTGCCTTGCCTTGACTACCATGATCTCAAGTGAATCTCTCTGCAGGGCTACATTAGTCCCTGTGCAGAAACTGCATTTGTGACGTGGAAGTCCATTTCATCACGCATCTTCTTTTGCCTCAACCAGGTTTCCTTGGAGAACGGAGACTCCACAGCTCCAGAAAAGAATGGCTCCTGTGCCTCAGGTATTTCTCTAGTAAAGCCCTTACTTTGCCAGCTTCCCTACGTAGAATTTAGGAAGTTTGTAGTTGAGTGTTCCCCTTATTTTTAGGCACCTTTGGTGTCTGCCTGGTTTAACAATTATTTGGGGAAATTAGTCCTAGCCCTGTTGTGCAGCAGAGGATTCTAGCTGTTTCTTCTCCTCAGTTGCCTTTCTGCCCCTCTCACAGACCTGGAGACACTCTGCTCTTACCTGCCACGGCTGCAGGGCCCTGTACTGGAGGTGACAGATGCCATTCGCCTACCCCTGGAGGAGCTGCTAATGGAGGGAGATCTTCTGGAGGTGACGCTAGATGAGAGCCAGAGCATTTGGCGCCTGTTGCAGGCTGCTTCTGCTCCCCAGCTCGACAAATTCCACCAACTGCTAGATGTAAGCGACCATGCTTTCCCCCCCTCTGGGGGCATATTCTAATTATCATCAGAAATCCTGATCTGATTCCTTATTTGTTGGGACTTCTTTCACTAGCCATGAATTCATTATGGCCTCCTTCATCACAGGAGTGTTGGAGGAGGACTCGTGGATGTGGCATTTGTCAGTGAATTAGGAATAGATTCATACCTCAAGGGACTCTTATCCAAGCTGGAGTCACTCATGAACTGAGCAGCTGGCTGTTATTCTTTTTTTAAAAAAATTGTTACATTTGTATCCTGCCTTTCAAAAAAAAAGGTGCTCAGCTAACAGCAATAAACAAAAATACAATGAAATGCCTTGGGGCACCTTTAAAAATGTCATATTTATTGTGTCTTTAAAGTGCTGCAACATTCTTTGTTTTCCTAACATGGCTTCTTTTATCCAACCTGCTCTCTAGCAGAGAGCAGATCTAGAATCCAGAAAAACTGAAGGCGGTTTATTAGAATAAGTGGTAGACTTCAGGTGTAGAATAAGTGTGCCTGTAGTTGCATTACCTGTGTGAAGGGGCCTGAGGAAGGGCTTATCGTGCAGGTCAGTGCAGAGGGGTTGAGTCATAAGTTAACAGCATTGTAGAAGCAACTGATTACTATGTAGGTATTAGAATTACCTGCACAGGATTATCTTGGAATTAGTTTTGAATCCATCCTTTTTCTTTTTCTTCCTTTTTGCATTTTGCAGTAACTGCAGCAGTTGTGATATTCTCTGGAAGTCACACAGGGGCAGAATTGGAGCACCCTGGTCTTGCTCTATATGGCATCAAGAAAATCAACCCTGCCCATTGTTGTACTTTGTACATTTCTCACATTTTCCCAATATTGGGTTTCAGAATAGTTTGAATACTTTTGCAAAGCCTTGAGTGAGTTGGCTGCAGCAACTTCACAGGCACAGATGAGTACCCACATGACAGATCTGTATCTGTGGTGTAGTTTTGCCATGAAAAAAAAATTGAAATTAAGCCAAAGCTTGCAGTAAAAGGTAAAGGGACCCCTGACCATTAGGTCCAGTCATGACCGACTCTGGGGTTGCAGCGCTCATCTCGCTTTATTGGCCAGGGGAGCCGGCGTACAGCTTCCGGGTCATGTGGCCAAGCCGCTTATGGCGAACCAGAGCAATGCACGGAAACACCATTAACCTTCCCACTGGAGCGGTACCTATTTATCTACTTGCACTTTGACGTGCTTTAGAACTGCTAGGTTGGCAAGAGCAGGGACCGAGCAATGGGAGCTCACCCCGTCGCGGAGATTCAAACCGCCAGCCTTCTGATCGGCAAGTCCTAGGCTCTGTGGTTTAACCCACAGCGCCACCCGCGTCCCTAAACTTGCAGTAGGCTAGGATATTACACTGTGTATCTGTAAGAGGCATAAACTACGTAATAACCCCACATAAGTATCAGAAAAACAGGATTTGTCAGCCCCTGCTTTCTTGTTTGTTCCTTTTCAGCTGGAGCAAGCAGAGCGGCGTGGCACCCGTGGGAGAGGCCGAGACTCTGAGCGAAGGCGGAAGCGGAAGACAGAGCGCGGCGACTACCCACCCTTGCCCAAGGAGGAATTAGAGCCAAAGAAGATCCGGGGGGCAGACCCAGCGCTGCCTCAGGGTGGGGCTCCCCCTGCAGCAGGCACAGATTGCAGCCACAATGGAGTTGGGGTAAATGTGGAATGGGGCATGTTCTGAGCTAGTAGTGGGGCACTCAGGGGTTTGGTGTTTGGTTTTTTTAAGTCAGGCGAATAGTTAATGTGTAGTAACTGTCTTCCTTTTTCCTAGCAGTTGTGACGGCTAGATGATGCCTGGATTTCCCCTTCCTGGACTATACTGCACTGCAAGGGACTCTGGCAGCCCCATGTCACCCTGTTGGTTTGACTAGCACTCTGCATGGGGGGGAGGCACCTAGTCCCAGAAGCTGGAGGCTACAATCTCCCCCACCCGGACTCAGCACTGGCCCTGCACCAGACTATTTTCAGATGATGTAATATTTCATTTTCTTCTTTTCCTCCTTTTGTATTGTTGATACCTCGGCAGGGGGAGGCATTGCAGGGGTCACCATGGGCACCAAATGCAGGACCCACCAGTTCCCTTTGGTGGAAGCAGCAGGGTGCACCCTGTTGCTGCAAGGACTAGAGCCTTGCAGAGACCTGTTGTGGGTGGCGATAGCAGTGTGTGCTGGGAAAACCCCCAGCTCCTTGCTTCTGGCAGTAAAAGGAGTCAGGTGCCCTCTTAAGGGCAGTGCCCTGCTCCTCGTACCAGCATTCCCTAGATACAACAGGGGCAGCGCCTCCTGTTGCACAGAGGGGCAGCTCTCCCCAAACACCCTTATCTTCCTCCTGGTACCTGTTGGGTTTTATAGGAACTGGGGTAACCACTTTGTTCTTTAGGGTGGTGGACGGGGCAAGGAATCTTCCCGTTCCACTCCAGCCTCTACTCCACCCTGACCTTCCTACCCCCAAATCATGGGCCCCATGCTGCCTCAGGCTCTGACACTAAAGTCCTTTTGTCTTTCTCTTTTTAGTGTTTTTCCTTTTTTCCAGCAGGGGAGGGTGGGCTGTTGAGGGTAGGGAGGGGTGTGTTATTTTATTGTATTATGATTTTTTATTATTATTAAACTTTGGAGGTTAATGAACTTACTTGGATTTTGGGGGTGAGCGCCACCTCATCCGTCAGGGGTGCTTTTAGCAGTTGTCATGTAAAATGTAGGCATGCACAGGTCTAGTGACTGCTCCTGTCTTGTAACTTCCTGCTATGTAGGAGGGTAGCTGTGGAGCACTGAGAAGCCCTGATTAGCTGCTTTCTCCTTTTGAAATTCTGAGTTCTGGCACCCTAGTTTTCAGTAAGAAATAGTGTGATATGATTCTTCCAGGTGCCTAATAGTCACTGTAGAGCCAGAGTGGGGAACCTGCAGCCCAAGGGCCGCATGTAGCTGTCAGCCTAATCCCATACTGCTGGTGATGGTGGGGAACCTACCAGAAGAGGAGAAGGAGGGGGGTGGGAAATTCCACAATTGATCAGTTCGGTCCTGTGGCAAAAGTAATCTGTCCCTTTCCCTAGCAGTCCACTCTCTAGGGAGAAGTGGGTGACAGGAAAATAGAGAAAAAGGTTGCCCACTTTTGGCAGCAGCCTGGCCCATCATTGGCACATGACAGAAAGTTTCCCATACTCTAGCTGTAGCAAGCCCTGCTCTCCCTCCAGTAGTGAATTGCACATCACCAAGAAAAGAGAAAGCCCTTTAGGCCAAACCTACATACGTTGCCAATAAGACACAAAGAAGGAATTTGAGGGGCAAATTGTTATGGCTCTGAAAATGAATATTTAAAACTTTTTTTAATACTTCAGAAGCCCTACCACCCCCCAAAAAGACCAGAGAAGTAGAAGGACCAGTAGATGACAGAAGGGTACTGAACAAAGACAGAAAGAGTGAGATTAATAGATTTTTCTGTGTCAGATGATCTTTGAGACTTAACAGCGAGTGCACCTGAAAAGCTATGTTAAAGGGAGGTGAGAAAGGATGATATTTCAGAACTCAATTGTCAAATAAAAAATTAACATCAGCTGGGCTGGGCTGCATGACACTTTAACCAAGGCATTTTTCCTCCAATATTAAATCATTGATATTTTGTGTAAAACAGGAAAAAAAAATTTTTCCTTTTTTTGGAGAGGAGTTGAAGGCAGGCAGTGGAATAACAGGGTTTTTAAACATCCAGGAAATTAGAAAGCCATTTCTCCAGGTAAACTGATAGAAAGCATTATTTAAGACTAAGATACTTAAGTCTACATAGGACTGGCCTTCCTGGTGAGAATCAACATGGAGGAAGTCTTGCCTCCTTAACATCTTTGGAATTCAGTGTCTCGAACACTGAGCTAAGACCAATCAGCATTAGATGCTTGGGATTCCAGAATGCTTTTGACTGTCCCTCCCCATAGCTTCCTAGGAAAGCTTTGCAGTGAGAGATGAGAGGAAGAATTTTCCCGTGGACCAGTAACTGGCTATAAAGCAGGGAGAAGCAAAGGGTAGATGTGATTGAGTAGTTTTCACAATGGAGAAGAGCAGCCAGTAGTGTTTTAAGTGTCCCTCTTAGAATTGATGCTATGTAATATTTTTAATCAAACTATAGGCAGGGAATAGTAAGTAGCCAAGTTCTGCAAATAACACCAACTTGTTCAAAATGGTGAAATTCCAAGGAGTCAGGGCAAAGCTTCAAAAGGGGCCTCCACAGAGGTGTATACTATTTTATGCTATGTGTAACTACCCTACACAATGTGCTTTTAGTTGTTATAATAATAGCACCAAGCTTCGATGGCTTTTAAAAAGGGTTACATAAATGTGTGGAGGGCAGAGCTATTGCTACCCATCAACAATAGAAGCTTAATGGAAATTACATGTGCCAAAACACCAGATTTTTTTGGAGGGGGGGGATGGTAAGATGGCTATTGTTTCCAGCAGCTTCTGCAAAACACAATGTTGAACTAGATGGGGCTTGATCCATCAGGGAAACCTTTGGTTCTTGAGCTGGATACATGTCCTTCTGGAGCCTTTGTAGCACCATTGCTAGGTTTTTTCCCTTACCCTTCCTCCTTGGTCCAGCACTTGAAGGTGGGGCTGCAGGGGTGTAGGCAGAACCCTCCTACAACTGAGGCATAAGGCAGTTCCCCTACCGTGGGGAGAAGGAGTCTGCACACACAGAACATGTAAAAGGGTGTCTTTCCTTCTGTAGACAAAACAGAAAAGCTGGAGAACTCCAATCATCTGAATAACCTGCAGTCCAAAGCCTGCTACTGCATTTCAGTTCAACAAGCATTTTATACAGGACTCAAAAAAATAATAATAAGCAAAAGTAGCCTTGTCTTATAAGAAAAATTCCAAACTTCACATTAGAGCAACAACTTAACCCAACCAAACTCTCACAAAATTGTTATCCAGAACGCTCTCATCAGGCTAGATGGCAAGCAAAGCAGGGGGCTGCAGGGGGGACTGTAGACATCAGCATTTGTCAGTCTTATGGTGGCATGTAGAAGGAGGTGGCAGACATTAAAATGAGAGACTTGAGCCTGATGACTTGTTCCCCCAGACTATTAAGAGGAAATGAGATCCCAGTCAATCCACCAAGGATTGCAAAAGGCATAAATGCACCCATTCTGCTGGTGACCAACAGTGTTTGCGGGAACCATTGCCAAGGCAAAGAACCGTATGATCTAGTTGAGATTCCTTCATTGGAGGGGGTTGGACTAGATGACTTTGGGAACGCTCCCAATGCAACAGTTCCATGATTCAATGAGGTTTTGATGATTAAGCGGTATATAAAGCACATTAAATAAAATTCTATAGTTGCAGGTTTCAGGTTGCATCTGTGGCTGCTGGGGGGAAAAGGCACACATGATGGATGAAACCTGCAAATTACCTAGCTGTGTTTCATTTGAATGTCTGCTACATCCTCCCACATTCCATCTTACGATTCTGACTAAATGTAGTCTCCATGGTTTCAGCACTAGCCAAGTCTCCCCTCCATGCTTTTTGTTTACCTGAAGAAGCATTCTAAAAAATTTGAAACCTTTATAACATTTTGGTTCACTTAATAAAAGTATTTTCCTAAGTTGGATATTGAATATACAGAGCAATTGGTCTTCCCACTCATGCAAATTAACTGTATTTGCTTATTTGGCCAGAGACCAGACAAAACCTAGGATAGATCTGTCTGTTGATTACTTCCATTCAAGGGTAAGGGTCAGTTTTATACCTGTGTTGTAGCCAAGGTAAAAGTCAGCTTAATAACATGTTTTTTATCCTTCTCTGGTGTTGACCCCTCTCATTCTCGGTAGGTCTTTGATCTAACTGGATGGGGCATTACAACTACATTTTAAATATAATTTTAGGATCACTGTGCAGGAATGTTGTTACTTTCAGAAATTCACCATGGCCCTCTGCATTTTGTTTAGAAAATAAACTGGCATTTTTATTCTCTGCAGTCTGCTCCTGTAACAGAGGGATAATAAACCACGAGGTTAATGTTGAAGGAAGCCCCACCATTTTCCTATCACAGTAGGAAAAACAGTTTGTCATGTTAGCGGGGGTGGTGGTGGGAGTGAATGAGCATTGTAAAAAATAGACTCTAAAACCAAAGCCCCTGGAATCTGCACTGGTCATATATCTACAGCTGTGGGAAAAGCCAGTGAGCCTTGGTCCTGCAAAACCTTGGAATTAGCCTGGACACACAACACAACACACACGATTAGCATCAGTGCTGTCCCCTCAGTTTGAGGAGGAGAGAGGTTTCCCCCGTCTCTGTATCCACCCATCTCTTACAAAGAGTCCCTTGGAATGTCATTCTCTCACGCCAGAGAACGTGGGTTCAAATCCTCTCCCCGCTCTTTCCCCTCCCATGAAGCTCAACTCCGAGGAGGGGAATGGTGGCCTGTCCATGGCTTGGAGCGGTGGTGGTGCTGGCGGCGGCGGCTACTGCTGTTGATGCTGCTGCTTCTTTGGGAGTGCTGGGGACTACTTCTGGTCCAGTTCAGAGAGTGCTGGGTGGCTCTGTACCAGCTGCTTTGCTGTTCCGAGTCCCACAGATTAGGTCCAGTGTGGGACTGGCGGCCGCTCCGACTACGCCGTGTATCCTGGCCTTTGTTGAGCTGTCGCCAGTAGCTCTCGCAAATGCCAAGAGCAGGGGCCTCCTGGGTGATGGCCCCCTCCAGCAAGGCGTGTGGAAGTACGTGCAAACGAAGACGGCGCAGTGTGTGGCGGAATCTGTTCTCTGTGCCTATGCACTGGTAGAGCCCACCATCAGCCGGTGTCACTGGGCCTAAAAGCACACCCTGGGGCGTGCGCAGCAACACACGATCACGGGGCAGCTGCAAAGGGAAGAAGAGAGTGAGGTAACTGAAGGGATTTAAATTTTCTCTTTAGAAATTGCACTCTGTCCGTAAATTCCTGCATCGGTTAGTGTAGCTGCAGTTTTTGTGAGATAAGTAAAAGCTGCTCCCAACATTCCTCATGTCAGAGATGCTATCAGACTGCTTTTTTTTTTAAGACAAATGTCAGTGTGACTACTCCCCCCCCCCCCCCGAAAAAGTTTAACATCATAGAATCATAGAGTTGGAAGAGACCACAAGGGCCATCGAGTCCAACCCCCTGCCAAGCAGGAAACATCTCCACAGTCGACACACTCATAGCTAAAGGTTATTCAGGATGAGGGACTTACCACCTTGCGCTTGTCAGAATTATCAGCTTGCATAAGCCACTTGATGGAGGCATGGGGAGATCGTGGTTCACACTCTAGAAATACACTTCCGCCTTCTAGTCCATATTGAATCTGCTCATGTAATTGTTGCTCTACTGTAAAAAAAAAAGAAAAAGTTTGCAAATAAGTCCAGGATTTGTTGAGTGTTATAACCCCACTGTAATTCTGTATGTTCTGCAAATTTGTCTTACTTGGTTAGCACATAGGTTTGCTTTTCCAGAATTGTTGCTGCAGAAATAGTTAACTCAAGAATTCAGCAATCATCACCCAGTCCCCCATGCCTACACCACATCTGTGTTGCCCAAAGCTTCATCTCTGTTCCATGTAGTTAGAGATAGCAGTAGGAATTCCCCACAGCCTTGGGACTGGGCACCATGACTAAGTACAGCTACCTGCAGCACAGCCAGTTTTAGGCTACACCTACGTTGAGTAGAATATAGGCAGTGCTCCTGGAAAGGCAGTAAAATGACAAGCATTACAGCTTAGCACAAAACAGAGCACTTCTGCACCTGTGAGGGAGATGTGCAGACAGGGCCAAGTCCTGGTAAGTCTTCAAAAGCAAAGCAATGAGCTCAGTTAATGAGAGGCCCAACCAGATCAGCTTGTTCAATGGTTGGGAATATAAATCCCAGGAGGACCAATGCTTTTTTCTGCTAGACATTTCAAAAGTCAACATAATTTCATCCCAGTCTTGTTAGATGAGAGTGGTGTGGGTTCGGTTATCTAAAGCCGTAACAGCATGTTATGAACTATATTAAAAGCACTTCGGTCATTAGGAGCTGTGGATCACACCAGTGATGCCTTACTGAACGCCTACAAGCAGCCCTCATTCTCCAGTGCTTCCAACAGATAGGAATGAGTTGTTCAAGAACCCACGAAAAACACAAGCCAATGGTGCCTTTGATTTAGATCAGGCATGGGCAAACTCTGCCCGCTGGATGTTTGGGGACTACAACTCCCATCATCCTTAGCTAACAGGACCAGCTTTCAGGGATGATGGGAGTTGTAGTTCCAAAACATCTGGAGGGCCGAGTTTGCCTATGCCTGATTTAGATACATCGTAATAAGTCTTCCAATGGAGGATTAGTAAAGCTGCCAACCACCTGGCAAGCAGTAAATACGTTGGGAGATCACACTTTGCTGAATCTGCATTAAATGTGACAGAGCTGAGCAGCCAAGTCAGTCACTAGGAAAAGAGCTAGTGCTGGATTCTGGACCAAAGTGTAAGTAAGGCTCAAGCAGTATTACAAAAATTTAGGAGAGTCCTTTGTCACAACTTCAACAGAGGCTAATCATGGACAAAAAATACCCACCATATTTGTTTAAAAATGTGTTGCTTTGGATGGGGACATATCCTCAGTTGCAAAAATTACAAAAATTAAATAAAAAACAGAAATTTGCTGCTTTCCTATTAGAGATCAGAAATGCTATGGAGACTAAATTTGCCTACCACATTTCAGCCCACCTTCCTTTTAGTTAGACTCCATTTTGTATCCTGTATCTTCTGGGCCATCAAAAATGCCTTTCATTCCCCTCTCCAACTTTTCTAATTTCTGAAGTGGAGGACAAGAGGAATGACAACCATTACCAATGATACCACACCTCACAATGCAGGAAGACTGCCAAAATTGCCAAATTAATGTAGAAAAGTCCAGGAACAGGGATGTACAGAGTTAGCTCTCAGGAAGTGTTCACTGCCAATTTGAGATAAGGGAATGCCTTCATTGTGGAACTGATGTAGCATCTTTTTAGTATACCCAAGATAAAACATTCTGCATCTGAATAGGCATATGACAAAAACACACTCCTGCAGCCAGAAGAAGCAAGCAAGCAACACTTAGAAATTCCTGATATCCAAGAATTTAATAGAAGAATTTAACCTTCAGATAAGCTGAGAATAGCAAGAAGTACTAGCGCACACACCCTGTTTTGATAGCTGAGATTCCTGTGATCCTCAAACCTACCAAGCTTGAGATGATCCTGCAGTACAGTTGACAAAGCAGTAACTGGATGTTCACAATCTCACAGCCCCACTCAAGCACCAGCTAAGGCAGGAAAGCGAGTAAAGCTGGAAACACCACTTCACCAAAACTCTGTATGATTACATCTTGACCATCCTGATCTGGCTTAAAAGGTAGATTGCTTTGCCACAATTTGCATAAGATTTGGCCCAGGAGACTGTGCTAAAGGGGCAGGCTAGTGATAAAGAAACATTCTCCAGGGAAAGTACAAAACAACTTTAAAATAAATTAAGCTTTGCATACCATTTCTCCCATTGATGAAACTGTCAGCCACTGAGTTAGCAACTAACACATCCTGACCATGACTGATATCACAGCCAAATCCTCTCAGAGCTGGCCTAGAGGTGCAAAATCCCACACTACAAGAGGGATAGGGAACCTATGGTCCTCTGGATGTTGCTGCACTACAACTCCCATCATCACTGGCTCCCATTATTGGCTCTGCTGTCTGGGACTGATGGGGGTTAGAGTCCAACAACATTTGGAGGACCACAATTCCTCCATTCCTATTCCTTGAGAAGGCCTTGCCCATTGCGACAGTTTCCACACTCCAAAAGCAAAGTACACCAAAAATGACCACTGTATCTAAGGAAGGAGGCTTGAGCCCATCAAAGCTTGTGCCATAATAAAGTATTTCTCTTTAAGGTGCCACAAAACGTTTGTTGTCTTTGCTGAAACAGACTAAAACAGTTGTATTTCTGGAAACACTAACATGAAGACAGGCATCAGTCAAGATAACCTTTGCATCTCACATTCTTCCACCAGTGTTTTCACTCGGAGGCGGGCAATCATCGCAGGCAACAAGTATGTGTTCTGCAGCAGTGCCTGCCTATGTTCCACCTGAGAACATCAGCCATTTCCCTCTGTTGCCAACCAGAGCTGTGTGTGGCCTAAGGCTTATCCCGCAACCTCTAAACTGGAAGATACTGTCCCATTGCTAGTGCTAAGTTTGTTTCAATTTCAGCCCCAATCTGTTTGTGTGTGAGGAGCAGGGGACACCATCTTGTTCTTTGCCTCAGGAACCAAAACGTCTAGGCCCAGCCGTAGACAAATTTCTTTGGAAAAAGTAAATAAATTGCAAGAATCTTGGTCAGAAGCTGCCACTGATAACAATAAGAAAGGAAATGACTTGGCAAGTGCTTCTACTCAGTTGGCAAGAGGAGTAGGCTTTTAGTAAGCCTTCCTGATGATAAGCCTTGATAGTGTTAGCCCCATTCTCTTCTGTTGCCTCTAAAGTAGACTGTCTTTCCTTCTGCGATGATGTCCCTCAGGTATTCTTCATAAGCAGGGAAGCCCAAGAGTTGCATAGGTGTAAGCAATCTGACTAACCCCTGTCAAAAAAATTATAAACCCTCCCGGACATCTTGGAACTAGACTGAACACAAGGAACTAGATATTAACACAAGGAATAATAACATAAGGAAGTGTGTAAGGGGGAAAGTATTTGCTGGGCAGAGGGCTGTTGTGCTCAGGTCCTTTGGGCTTCCCTTAGGCATCTGGTTGGCCACTATGAAAACGGGATGCTAGCTGCCCCATTGGCATGATGCAGCTGGCTCTCTTCACATTATTAAGGTACTGGGAATAGAGGGTTGTTCACATGTCACATTGAACATAGGCACAAGCCGTATCTACACATGTACCAGTGTTCATATGAAAAAGGGCGCGTATGTGGATTTGTGCAACACAACTATTTACTTGTGGAATCACACCATGTATGCGCACTTGACCACTTTGATCTGCAGAATTAGCACTGCCATAGGTGCCATATTTGCCATATTTGTACTTTTTTTTGCAAACTGCTTAGAGGTTGGTGGTACATAAAGGTTGTGTGTGTGTGTGTGTGTGCTACATATGAATACCACTTACTGTTGCTGAAATTCCCTGTGTCAAAGGTACTGAAGATTTTGTGTTGAGCCCCAGACTATTGCTGATCAGTCTGAATCTACTTCAGCAAAGCCCTGTGGACCCACCAGGCCACCCTCAAATCCTTCGGAAGATTTGTCTGGAGGGAAGGAGGCAGACTACACCTAAGTAGCAATGAGGTCACTAGGATAGAGCAGCATACAGTCCTAGTTGAACCCACCTCAGCAGAGCACAGCACTGGAAGAGGTGCAGAAAAAGATAACCTCAGATGATCAAGGGGCTAAAGCATCATCACTACAAGCCTAAAGTGTCTGATTGCTTCGTGGCTTACAATGCAGGAGGACAACTAAGGGAACCACAGCAGAGGTTCATAAAATTACGCATGTTGTAGGTAGAGAGGTTTTTCTCCCTCTGTCATCACATTAGGCCACCCAATGGAATTCATGGGCAGCAGATCCCCGGACAGACAAAAATAAGCACTTTTTTCAACCAGCGCATCATTAGTTTATGAAATTCACTGCCTCACAACAAGGTGAAGGCCATTGTCTAATCCTCCTTTAAAGTCATTTATGCCAAAATCACAGAGGATGTAGCTCCATTCATGGCTATTAGCCATGAGGTCTATATGGAACACCCACTTTCAGAGGCTGAATTTCAACTACTGTGGGGCAAGCAGCAGAGCTGTGTTGGCATCATGCTCTGCTTGCCAGTTCGCCAGGAGAATCTGACTGGGATGCCAGACTTAGGCAGACCTTTGTTCTGAAGCAGCAGGGCTCTTCTTACACTTCTATAAGATTTCCATGGCCTCAAGGGTCTTTAACAAAGAAATTGAGCAGATTATTCAAAATAAACAATTAAAAAACAAGACTCTAAAAGGTTCTCCCATCTTTCACCTTTGTCACCAAAAGGATGAAACAGAAACACAGGTTTGGAGCACCTTGTAACTTTATTAGAGAGGAAGACTCTCTTTCAGAACCAGCATACACAACCCATCACAGGTGGCATTTCTTCTGGTAACTCGCAGCAGTTCTTGTGGGGCAACCCATCTTGCCATTGTGCAAGAATTACTCTTCCATTACAGGAGTATCATGCATAGGGGTAGTAATGTTTATGTCTCACAAGGGTGGGGAATCTTTTTCATTCCCCCATGGCCAACCTTCTGGAGGCTGCTTGGTGGTTGGCAGTGACAGAAGCCAAAGGGGGCGGAGATGCTTACTTTTGCCAATGGACTACATTCCAGCCAGCCAAAAGACAAGATTTCTACCTCCACCTGACCTCTCTCCATACTTTATCTGAGCAAGCAAGAGTTCTCACGCTCCAAGGACACATTCCCACCAGGCAAAAGCACAAAAGGGGTATCAAAAGTGGCCTGGGAAGACTCCTGAAGGCCAGGCAGAGATATCAGGAGGGCTTCGTGCCAACTTAGACAAATGCTTCCCATGTGTGGAGATCACATTGCTTGCCCATGCCACTTTTCCCTGCACAACCCCAGCGCTGGCTCTTAGCATTATCCCACTCTGCATTCCTAATCCACTAGAAGGTCATTGTGCTCCCCTTTTGAAGATCCTGGCACCCATCTCCCCTGCACTAGTAAATCCTCAAATGGTCAATTCAGTTCATTTCCCACCCCCACCAATCTCTAATCTAGATCGTCCTCTGACACTTAATGCAGAGAAGAAATACCTTCAAATTTATCTTCTAAATCCTCATTATGTTTAACACAGCATATGCAATCCTACCCTTCTAAATTGGAATTACATTACTTTTAGGGGGAAAGGAAGCTGCCTTTTACCAGGTCAGAATATTTATCCATCCAACTCAGTATAGTACTCTGGCCACAGCTCTCCAGGGTCTCAGCCAAGAGTCTTGCCCATCACTTGCTAAACCAACCCTTCTTTTCAAAAAACCTGTAGATGCCAGGGATTGATTCTGACACCTTCTGTATTCATCCTATGTGCTATGGCCTCTTCATTCAGCAACAGAGCTGGCTTTTATAAAGCCAGGAGTTGCTGCAGCAGCCAAACCACAGAGAGTTTTCTCTCAACCTTTATTACATTACCTTCCTTGCAGAAGCAGTGAATTTGCTTTTCTTTTGAGAGTGCTGAGCAGGCATGTCCTGGTCTGAGCAGCTGAGATAACCCTTTCCTCCTGTGGCAATTAGGAACTGAGCCTGCCTCTGCCTTTTGATCCCCAGAGGAGCCGGACTTCCCATTCCACGCAGCCCTCCCGAGACTTGCCAAATTTTGTCAGCATTTGCGTTAAGGGAAACGGCACATTTGTTGGCAAGCACTTCTTCACACAGCACACAGTTGGACTATGGACTATGGATCTCCATCAGCTTGGATGGCTTTAAAAAAAGGATTAGACAAACTCTTGGAGAATAAGGCTGGGATGGTGCTGTGAAAACTTACCTTTGGCATTAAAGCCCCGGCACTGCCGCAAAGGGTCACCATGTTTGATGTCCTGACGGCGGCTCCTCCTAAATGAGAGGGAAGAGGTCAAACTCATTCGCTTTTCCAACCCAGGAGACTTCTTTGAGACTTTCTTTTGAGCAGCTAAGGGAAATTAGTAAACAACGACCAACCATAATCATGATGATAGGTAAAGGTAAAGAGACCCCTGACCATTAGGTCCAGTGGTGGCCAACTCTGGGGTTGCGGCGCTCATCTCGATTTATTGGCCAAGGGAGCCAGCGTACAGCTTCCGGGCCATGTGGCCAGCATGACTAAGCCGCTTCTGGCAAACCAGAGCAGCGCACGGAAACACTGTTTACCTTCCCACCGGAGGGTACCTATTTATCTACTTGCACTTTGATGTGCTTTCGAACTGCTAGGTTGGCAGGAGCAGGGACCGAGCAACGGGAGCTCACCCTGTCACGGGGACTTAAACCGCCGACCTTCTGATCGGCAAGCCCTAGGCTCTGTGGTTTAACCCACAGCACTACCCATGTCCCATCAATCATGGTGCTTATTATTTTTCTGTTTAACAGCCAGGGATGGAGCACCTGTGGCTCTCCAGATGCTGTTGCACTACAACTCCCATCATCCCAGACCATTGGCCATGATGACCAGGGCTGATGGGAGTTGGAGAGCCACAGATGCCCCATCCCTGATTTAACCAACTCATCCTGCCTCTCTTCAGTTTAGTGCTTCAAGGCTGCTTCTATTTGAACAAAATAGTTTTCAGTCAAGTTTCCACATGCAGACCCTCCTCTTAGAACAAGCTGCCTTGCTCTCTGCCCTTTGTCCACACTGGAGGGACACACCACAGGCAAATAGGGCAAGGCGGGGAGGGGAGGAAATCTCAGTATTGGTGGCAGCAGGGGGGCTGGGGAAGCCACTTCGGAGCAGCCCAGACCAATCTGAGAGTGGAGGAGAGAACCGCCAAGCCAGGGATGCTCCTGCCACAGCCAGTCACACATTACAGTGGTACCTCTAGTTAAGAACTTAATTTGTTCTGGAGGTCCATTCTTAACCTGAAACTGTTCTTAACTTTTCTTAGCCCACTTTAGCTAATGGGGCCTCCCATTGCCACCGCGCCGCCACCGCACGATTTCTGTTCTCATCCTGAAGCAAAGTTCTTAACCCAAGGTACTATTTCTGGGTTAGCGGAGTCTGTAACCTGAAGCGTATGTAACCTGAAGCATCTGTAACCCGAAGTACCACTGTACTTTTGCTCAGGGATCAGACCTGATGGCAGTAAATAGCCCTCGTAGAAGTGGCCTTGGAGGAACTGACTCTTTCTCTTTCCCTTGCCAGTGGTGTTTTTGGGTGCCTCTGCCAGAGCAAAGAGCAAGCCCTACCCCTGGAGTGGAATTCGCTCCCACAAGATATAGTGATGGTCACCGCCAACACAGATGGCTTTATAAGATGATTAGACAAATCCATGGAGTGGCTGCTAGCCTCCACTGGCAGAGGAAGTATGTCTCTGAACTGCTGTGGTCCAGCTTGGGGGCTCCCCACAGGCACACGGTTGCCCATTGTGAGAACAGAACGCTCAACTCAATGGACCACCGCCCTGATCCAACCTGCAGGCTCTCCTTACATTCACACTTCCCTCCCTCCTTCCCTCGGCATTTGCATTCCCAACTTAGCACTCTCAGGATGTTACCTTTTGGCTGTGTGGCTGTAGCGTGCGCAGCGCTGCCCATCCCAAGCGCAATAGGGATCCCTGGCCAGGCAGCAATCGGCACAAGCTTCACCGTATTCGCGGCATCGATGGAGGCTCAGCTGGGAGACCCCCACGTCTGAGGAGGCGTACAGCTGTTGCTGCAGAGCAGAGAGGAGAGAGCAGCGGCTGAATGGGAAGCTGGATTGCAAGACCACCCGCTTGCCTCCTACAAGACGAAGCCTGGTCTTCAGCCTCTGCGCAACAGCAGCGGAATCCTAACCTCCCTTCTCAGAGTTGGAGGACTAAGCCCACAAGGTCCTTCAGGTACCTGCACCCCTGTCAGAGCAGCGACCCAGAGTGCTCATCTCCTACTTTGCTCCTCAGCAACAGGTACCTCAACCACCTACCCGTTTAGAGGATATCCACAGGGTCTTCACAGGCGCTGGAGCCTGTAAGGCAAAAAGAGGAGAGGCCAACATTGAGAAGGGCAGACAGGTGGCAGTGTTAGGGCAGCAACAACAGGGAGCCACGTGTTCACTCACCCTGAACACTTCCACCTCCTCCAGGGTCAGCTCTTCCAAGTTGCCCTGTTCCTTCGGCAGCACAATCACCTTCTGCACTGTGCCCTGGTCTGGAGGAAGAAGACCCAGACATCTTCCTTCAGAAGCTATGGAGGACATTTTACTCCAGTGCTTCAAAGAGCTGAACTGGTTGCTTGTGGACGGTATTTAGGGACAACTTCAAAGGTGTTGGTGTTTACCTTCAAAACCCTACGCTAGGGATGGGGAACCTGTGTAGCTCTTTAGAGGTTGTGGGACTCCAACTCCCCTCAGCCCCAAGCAGCATGGTCAGAGATGATGGGAGTTGTAGTCTGAGAACATCTGGAGAGTCACAGTTTTCCCATTCAGCCGGGGAAATTAAGAAAAAGAAAAGTCACTCAGGTCACAGCTGGGAATTGAGTGGTATTCAATATGCACTTGAAGCACCTATTAGCACCTTTAACAAGAACAGGTCAAGAGGTGAGTTTTCTAGGTGACTTCCACCACAGCCTGTGGGGGTGGCTGAAGAGTGACAATGTCAGAAAGCATCCCTAGCTAAGCACTCTCCAGCAACTATAGCACCCATTACTTACCTGTCCCAAGAAAGAGAACCTCATAGCGCCCGTCCACTGCATCCACTAGGTCCACGGCCAAGGTGGTGAAGCTGTAAGGCACATTGGTCCTCACAAGCAGGGGGCGGCGCTGCAGTGGGTAAACAGCATTGTACATCAGAGGGTGGGCACGCACAAACGTCACCAGCTCGTCTGAAAATTCACGTGTGGAGCGAAGTCCTGGGGTGAAGGTTCCTCCTGGGCACTGAGAAAGAGAGCCGGGTAGCAGAGTCAGAGTCTTGGCCAGGGTGGGGGGAACTGTAGGGGTCCAGCTTTCCCCACCCTACCCTGCTAACCTTCTTTGTACCCATAATGCAAAGGAAACACACAACTGAGTGTAAAGCAGGAGAGGGGGTAAATATAAGGAAGAAATCGCAAGGAGCTTAGGGAAGGAGAAAAGGGAGGCAGACAGTGAAATCCAGGCGCTGAGGGGAATAACACATTAGGGGAGTGAGAGGCCTTGGTGACTCACAGCTCCAGGGCGAGGGTAGGGCACCCGCCCTGTGTAAGGGCCCCACTGGTAGTTGTGTCCCTCCTTGTGGGCAAAGGGCCCATTGAAGACTGTGCGAATGTCGGCCATGGAGTAAACGCAGACCGCAGAGCCACGGAACACGGACCTGGAGGAAGGGAGAAGGGAGACAGGGGCACACACCTGTGTGAGGCCCAAGGCCTGCTGAGCAGGCTACGCCCCAACACTGAAGCCCAGCTGTCCCCACCACGGGGTGCTCACTCACCCCAATGAGGAGAACACCCCATAGAGCAGAGGGTGCTTCTCGTCCTGAGTCGGCAGCAGGAAAACGTCACCTGGAAGAGGGAAACAAAGAGGCAGAGCTTCTTGAGGGAGGTGGGTAGGTTGTGCGGGAAAGATTGCCAGTCCCCATCTAGCCTATGGCCAACCCCCTGCATCAGGTGTGACAACTTGAATAAAATATTTGGGGAGGGGGGTAAGCTCTGCCCTGCATAATCAATCACAAGACGCACAGACACCATTTGAATGGCAATGCTCATCAACTTTAGGGGGGCAGCCCCCTCAAATATTTTTTGGGGAGCCAAATAGACCTCAGCCCCTAGAAGTTGGTGCCTATACCTTGCATGTATCTCTCAATTACATCTGTGCTGTGGCTTAGGGGGACATACTGAAGCAAATGGCAGCGAACAAATGGCATGGCAAGGGGTTGGATTAGATGATCCCCAGATCCCTTCCAACTGTCCAATTCTATGATTCTATGAACACACATGGAAATCCAAGGGTTCCTTCCAAAGGGTCATAGGAATGGATCAAGTCCAGAGAAATAGGTTGCTTACATTGGAGATGGGATTGATGGGAGTTGGGAATCCACAGGATCCCCATCCTTGCCTACACAGTGAATTTAGGGAGATCTACAAATGGCCAAATGAAGAAAAACATTTTTCATCCCAATGGCCACTGGAATACACAGGGCTGGGATCTTCCACCTTGACCTGGAATGCTAAGAACAACAAGCATCTTGGCAGATGTCTTTTGGAATGGCCTCAAGAACCACTTGAAGTTGACAGAGCCAAGATATTTCAATGGCCACTCTCTGGTGACGCCTGGCTTTAAGTCATAGAATCATAGAGTTGGAAGAGACCACAAGGGCCATCGAGTCCAACCCCCTGCCAAGCAGGAAACACCATCAGAGCACTCCTGACATATGGTTGTCAAGCCTCTGCTTAAAGACCTCCAAAGGAGGAGACTCCACCACACTCCTTGGCAGCAAATTCCACTGTCGAACAGCTCTTACTGTCAGGAAGTTCTTCCTAATGTTTAGGTGGAATCTTCTTTCTTGTAGTTTGGATCCATTGCTCCGTGTCCGCTTCTCTGGAGCAGCAGAAAACAACCTTTCTCCCTCCTCTATGTGACATCCTTTTATATATTTGAACATGGCTATCATATCACCCCTTAACCTCCTCTTCTCCAGGCTAAACATGCCCAGCTCCCTTAGCCGTTCCTCATAAGGCATCGTTTCCAGGCCTTTGACCATTTTGGTTGCCCTCCTCTGGACACGTTCCAGTTTGTCAGTGTCCTTCTTGAACTGTGGTGCCCAGAACTGGACACAGTACTCCAGGTGAGGTCTGACCAGAGCAGAATACAGTGGCACTATTACTTCCCTTGATCTAGATGCTATACTCCTATTGATGCAGCCCAGAATTGCATTGGCTTTTTAGCTGCCGCGTCACACTGTTGGCTCATGTCAAGTTTGTGGTCAACCAAGACTCCTAGATCCTTTTCACATGTACTGCTCTCAAGCCAGGTGTCCCCCATCTTGTATTTGTGCCTCTCATTTTTTTGCCCAAGTGCAATACTTTACATTTCTCCCTGTTAAAATTCATCTTGTTTGTTTTTGCTCGTTTTGAAGTGTGATCCTGTCCTCTGGGGTGTTAGCCACCCCTCCCAGTTTGGTGTCATCTGCAAATTTGATCAGGATGCCCTTGAGTCCATCATCCAAGTCATTCAAGCTAATTCTTTCTCCAGAGCTTAGGGTGCAATTCTGTCTCCTGTGCCTCAACCCTCTGACAGTCACCTGCACACACAGAGACAATCACTAAGCCTCAGGTTTCTGCACCAAGGGTGGAACCTGAAATCCTTATGGCCTCAACCTCCCCCTGCCAACATAAATCATTTCTGCCCCGCCAAAACAAAATCCCTCTCCAAAACAGCAGCTCACGGAGCTCATCAAAGAAAGTCTCCACGCCGTCCTCTCCAATCACCGAGCAGACAAGCCGAGCTTTAAGGAAAGTCGTCCACTTGTTCACCAAAGAGCGCTGCCCGCCATCATCATTCTGAAAAGGGAAATGTACAAGGGTCTGTCAGCTAATCCCTACAGTGGCCAAAGCGAATCACATGCTTGGTCTCTGAGTGCACAGCTTTTCTTGCAGAAATAGACAGCATGTAGAGCCCAGTCTGGATTAGGATATTGGGGGGGGGGGGCTTTAGTTCTCCCCCGCCACCAGTATGCTCCCATTCTAGAAAAGAGGGTGATGTACTTGCAATCTGCATTGGGTCAGGGGGAAGCTTTCATTCACCCCTGAAGAACAATAGATCCAGCAGCCACCTCTGGGCTGGAAGATGAAGAAAGCCATTATTTGTACTGGGACCTCTTGCCTTAACACCAGCATGCAAGCAAGAATCAGAAAGCTTAAAAAAAAATTAGAACATGGAGGGCATGGAATAGGAAATGGTAGGAAAGTTTTATCACAGAGGAGCAGAGAAAGCCAAACAGAGACCCTAGGATTTGGAGATCTAAGAGCAGCAGGAGACTCTTAGTTGATTCAATTAGGGGGTGGATCAAAATTCTCTAACCCAGGGATGGGCAGGCTTCAGGCTTGAAATATTTAACTGCATCTTTTTTTTAACCAAAACATCAAGGTCCACCCATCAGAGCAGTGTGCAAAATAGTGGCTGGTGGGTGGGGCAGGGGAACACAGAAATAAGGAACAGGGTACCCTCTGAAACCTTTGCTGATCCACTGCAAATCAGCCAGAGATCTATCAACAGAGCTTGGTCTTTCTGTCTACCCCTGCTCTAACTCTTTTTCAGCAATAGCACTGTTACCCATAGAGAAGACAGTTGGGTGAGCACTAATTTCCAGAGGAGAGCTCTTCACAATCAACTTTAATTGTGTGACCTGAATTTGCTGGTATCTGAAGTGGCACCATTTCAAGATCTACACAGTTAAAAGAATCAGGAACTATGGTGGACCTTGGAAAGTGAAGGACTCTCCTTCCTTGGAGGTTTTTAAACAGAGGTTGGGTGGGCATCTGTCAGGGATTCTTTAGTTGCGATTCCTGCATTGCAGGAGGTTGAACTAGATTGTCCTTGGTCCCAACAATTCTACGGTGCTATAAATATATGGCCCCACCACCCACTCACAGAACACTCTGGAAAAACTTAGAGGTTACAAAAAGAATGCACATGGGTCTGGCCCACTTTTCTTTGAACCATACCTTGATTATTGATTATTGAAAAATAAGGAAGAAAAGTTTAAAAATAAAAATGAACTGGCCAAAGGGACAAGTGTAAGTAAAAGGGATGCCAGGAAACCGGGAATTAAGTTCACATGTGGTGGGGGTATAAATACGTACAATTTTTAGGGCAAAGGGTGTTTAAGGAGATAACAGAAATCACTGGGTAAAAGCTGACCGAAAGTCCAAAGGTAGCATTATTATCAATTTACGATGGGGTGGAAAGTTCGCAGGCTATGAAGGACTTGCTCATAAATTTATTGACAGCTGCACAAGTCATTATAGCTAGGAAGTGGAAGGGGCAAGGTGAATATAAAATGGAAGAATGGTATAAAGAGGTGTGGGATAAATTTATTAATGATTTATTTATTTATTTATTTATTTATTTATGATAAATTAACATGTGCTATTAAGGTTAGACGGGGAACATGCAAGAGAAATGATTTTGAGGAGATATGGAAGGGGTTTGTAGAATTTGTACTGTTAGAATGGAAAGGGGTCAAACCATTGCAAGAGAGGTGTTGAAATCTTGGGATGTTGGATAGCTACAATAGAATGGTCTTGCGGGTGGGGTGCACATTTTTATTCTTTATTTATTATTATTACTTTGTCAAAATAAAAAATAAAATTATTTTTTAAAAAACAGAAAGGATTTGGGGTAACCAGTTCAGGCATCCTTTATTAAGTGCTGCTGGGCAAATCATTAGGCTAAGTAAAACAGGTTCCCCCCCCGCTGGGTAGGGTTCTGTACTTAATGTAATTGAGAGCATTTTCAGACCTGAACAACAGTTTGAAACTCATGAATGTCCTGTAACTCAGAATGTAGTGGCTCTCCCCTAATCACATGACAGGGTTTCAGTGGCCATGTGGTGAGTTGTCAGGGAAATTTAAAATATTAATCACACACAATCTACCAGGAAGTTCCCTGCACAAGCCACAATGAAAGGATGAGGGAATCTGGGCTCTTTTCCAAGCTCCCATGAATTTCAATAGGGATTTTGCAAGAAAACATTTGAGTTAGTTGTGGTCACAACCTGTGCACAACGAAGACCAGAATGGCTGTGCATATACCTATACCTTCCACAGGCTCGCTATGGTGCACAGATGTGCCGCAACTGGCACAGGACCAGCGTGCTTGCTTGCGTGTCTGCATCTCTGTGTGCTTGTGGGAGTGCAGAGAGTAATGTGGAAGTGGGGAGCGTTCCTGTTCAGGGTTCCAGCCCGCCAATAGTGCTCTCTTCCACAATACACCATCACCCAACAACAACAGACACCGAGTGTTCATTGAGCTGTTAGCTTTTCTGTGTTGGTTTCTTCATTGACGCACAAACACATGCCCGGCCAAAGATAGCCTGCACTTCTGTAAACTCTGAGGTTCCCCCAAGCATGCTGACACCTCCCTTTTATTCCTCAGTTGCCTAATTTGGTGCTGTAATCCTGCTGACACTGACTAGCAGAGTTCACTAGCTGAAAGGGAGTGATATGGCCCAAAGCAGATCCCTGCTGGAACAGACCAATGACAGTTCTAGTCCATTATCCTGTTCCTTGGGGAGTTTACAAACAAGGCATCAGGCAACTCCCACTAGATTTCCCCAACAGCAGCATCTGCCATACTGCCTCTGAATTCCTATAGTACAGTACAGCATTGTCTGGTTATTAAATCCAGCACACTGTATGGTAGTCAACTAATTCATCTTGTAAGTGGATTACCACTAGCACAACAGGACTCCCTCCCCAGCTCCTCCCCCTACACGTGCCCCAAAATTTGCTCCAGGGGGTTGGAGGAACCCTAGAAGAAATTTAGATGTATTCAAAGGTAGGGTGGGGGGAAGTCCCATTGTGCAAGCAGTAATCCTAAGGCTAGTGGGACCTTGACTTAGCAACATGTAAGGCAGCCCAGAATTTGGAACCCTTTTCTAGGATCTCCAGGTGCAATTTTAGCTCTGCAGGAGCGGGGACACAGCCATCGCCACCAGCAAAACACACGCTCACACACCCCTCAGGCGGCAGCCCCCGGCCTGCTCCATCTTTCTCAGCCTGCTTCCCCATGCCTCAAGCCAAAACTCAACCGTGTGGGTGGGTGTCTCCCCCACTCCAAGCGTCGCTCACCAGGCAAACCCGTCCCACCCGAGCGAGCACAGCAGGCCCCACGGCACCCTCAAGCGCTTTCTCACGGAAAAAGAAGTAGAGCTTGTCATCGTTGTGGTCGGAGCTGTCGGGGATGACGCGGGCGTGGAGGAAGACAGGGTCTGGTGGGGAGGGGAAAAGTGCTGTTACCTTGGTCCGCCACTAGGCAGCACAAGCAAACACTTTAGCCCAGTGGCTGCCAACCTTTGGGGGCAAGCGTGCCACAACAAGCCAAGTACAACATCTAGGAAATTTTCTACACTTTAGTCCAGGCTTCCTCAGCCTCGGCCCTCCAGATGTTTTGAGACTACAATTCCCATCATCCCTGACCACTGGTCCTGCTAGCTAGGGATCATGGGAGTTGTGGGCCAAAAACATCTGGAGGGCCGAGGTTGAGAAAGCTTGCTTTAGTTATAACACATATTCTTATGCATTGGGGTAATGCTAATTTTTTCAACGGGGTGGGTGAGTTGGATCTGTCCTTTTGCATGATGAGCATTCAGATTCATAGTCTGCTCTTTGTACACTCAGTTTTAATGTTTCTTTTAATGCCACGAATCACTTTAACTCACTTTTGTGAAAAAAGTGACAAATGAACACAAATACAGTGGTGCCCCGCAAGACGAATGCCTCGCAAGACGGAAAACCCGCTAGACGAAAGGGTTTTCCGTTTTTCAATGCGCTTCGCAGGACGAATTTCCCTATGGGCTTGCTTCACAAGACGAAAATGTCTTACGAGTCTTGAGATTTTTTTCCGCTCCCCCCCCCTTTTCTAAGCCGCTAAGCCTTTAATAGCCTTTTAGCAGCTAAGCCGCTAAGCCGCTAAGCCTTTAATAGCTGCTAAACCGCTAATAGCGCTAATCCGCTAAGCCGCTAATAGGGTTGCTTCTCAAGACGAAGAAACCGCTAGACGAAGATACTCGCGGAACAGATTAATTTCGTCTTGCGAGGCACCACTGTAATAATGAGGATGAGGACGGGCGTAAGTCTGCTGAGCTGAGCGGCAGGCAGCAGCCTAACAGAGGAGAAGCAGGCGGGGCTGCAGGTTTCGCCTCTATGGCACTGCCAAGTGCAAGGCTCTCCGGGTGTGCCGCAACACGCACCCTGCTACCTGTGCCACTCACGCCACAGGAGGTGAGCCATAATTCTCGCCATTATCCACAGTGTGCTATCCCAGCACTCATCCCCACCCACTTCTGGCTACCTCCATCAGCCTCATACCATAGAGCCAGCGGGAATCATGTTGCTCGGTGCGCACAGCCGGTCGAGGCCCCATCGTGCGGAACACGGCAGCATCAGTGCCCATGAAATCCACATGAACTCCAGCATACAGTGTGTTATCTGGGGAGAGGAGAACGGTGGAAGAGGCACATGGCAGCATTAGTCGAATAGACACAGAGACACAAGTAGACATATAGCCGATGCAAACCTGAAGGCAAGGGAACTGGGTACAAGAGTGTAGACCTTTGGTCCATCTGCTCCAGTATTGTCTGCCTTAACTGAGAAACAGCAATCCAGAACATTAGACGTGGGTCTCCTAACCCTGTTTTTAATCTCCTTTCAATTGTGGTTAAACATGGGACCTTATACTTCCAAAGTATGTGCTCTGAAACTAAGTTATGGCCCCTCAGTGGAAAATATCTTCTTGGCCTGCAACATCCTCAGCAGCTTCTTGTTCCCTGCCAATCAGCTGTTTAGCGCTAACTGGCTGCTTAGCTAATGCAGCATGTCTAGTAAATGCAAGAGAAAGACAAGTCATCAAACAATGGTGGCTGTAAACACACAATGACATGGTCTCTGGCTCCATTGGGCAACCTGTGGCCATTTATATGCTGACAAGCAAGATAGATCACACTCATCTAGAGCTCTCTTGTAAGAAAAACAAGAGTTAAAAGACAAATACATGTATATGCACAACACTACTGGTACTTCATAGAGATAACTGGTAGCAGGGTCGCATCCAGGGACACATGCAAACTCACTCAAAGTCACTTACTGACAAGCACAGCCGTGCTGTGCTGCCGGGGGTCATATGGGCACTTGCCCTTCCCTGGCTCCAGTGAACGAGGCACCATGCGGAAAAGGTACTCCTTTGAAGGGATGAAAAAAGAAGAGAACATGAATATGAGCATGGAAACCTACCTTGAACACCTAACCTAAAGCCCAGCTCATTTCCAAAACTGTGGAGGGACAAAATCCCACTCTTGACCTGCTCTCCTTTTCAGAAGTACCCTCTCTCTTCAGAAGCTCACACAGGTAACTGCCTTAAACTAAGGCTGTGTACTCACTAAAGCACATTTGTAGAACATTCTTTCCTCTTAAAGAATTCTGGGCACTGTAGGTCACCCCTCACAGAGCTACAATGCCCAAAAATCCTGAGCAAACTATAGAACCCAGAATGTTTTTTAGCGGTATAGGATGTATGTAGCGTACATTTGTCCAGCGTACTATTGGTCCCTCTAACTTGGAAGGCTTTAGAAGAGAATCTGACAAATTCATGGCGGAGATGGCTATCAATGGCTCTTGGCCATGACGGCTATGTTCTGTCTCCACAGCTGGAGGCATCAATGTTTCTCAACTCCAGTGGCAGGAAACTACGGGAGGGGATGGTGCTCTTGTGATCGAATCCCGCTTGTAGGTTTTCCACAAGCATCTGGTTGGCCACTGGGAGAACAGGAAGGTTGACTAGATGGGTCATGTGCCTGATCCAGCAGGCTCTTCTTGTATTCTAACTCACTATGGTCAACAACAGGGAAACCTGTGGGTCTCTAGATGTTGTTGGCTGCCAACACCCATCCGTCTCAGCCTCCATGTCCAATGATCAGGGATCATAAGAGCTATAGCCCAGCAGTATCTGTGGGGCCATAGGTTGCCCACACCTGAGTTACATTGACTGGCAGTGACACTCCAGGGTTTCCGGCTGGGATCCTTCCCAACTCTACCTGGAGATGCCAAGGACTGAACCTGGACCTTTGGGCATACAAATCATGTCTCTACCACTGAGCAGCGGCTCTCCTCCCAGCGGGAAGCAATCCAGGTTCTCTGCTTACTTCAGAGCGCCAGCCACGGTTGACGAGGGCACAGACTGGGTGGTAGGCCCCTGTTCCACACACGTACAGGTGAGTGCGGTTCAATGGCTGCATAAGCCGGATGTAGTTGAAACATTCGCCCTGGAGGGTAAAGAGGAAACAGGGCATGAGCTGGCAGACATCCTCCTGGCAGCCAGAAGTTGGCTCAACCCCCATTTTCTTACCCTGTCCCTTCCCCAAAAAATAAAGAGGAAGGGGAGCTGACTTCTGGTGGGGGGCATTGCTCAGAAACACAGGCTATGCAGGATCAATGGATAGCAAAGATGATGTCATGGAGGTAACAGCTTTGGGGTTTTTTGGTAATATTGTTCTTAGAAGTACACAAGAAAGCCCGGGAGGTCCAGGGGTATTCCTGAAGGCACATCATCTTGTGGAAGGTAAGCAAGTCTCGGCCTGGGAACCACATGCATGCCACCTCAGGTTCCACAATGGAAGAAAAGCGGGATATAAATGTAAGAAACTAAAATAAGAAGTCAGATGGATTCAGGGACAGCCATAGCCACATTGACAAATGGTCTTTCCACAGGGATTTGGGGCATTTAGACCAAAAACCCCACTAGCGGTTGTGAGGTGATACCCAGGGTGATAAGAAGAGAGCAGTGGAGCAGCAACTACGACTCACCCTCTGCCCCTTCCCTGCCAGGCGACACTCATTCTGGTGGCTGGGAAGTGCTGGCCAATGAATCTGTGCAGAGAGAGACAGAGAGAGATGAACAGGATGGGGATTGGCTTTGATAGAGTGGAGGTATTTCTCCCTCCATGCCAGGCCTTCACGCACTTGCAGTTAGCTGCCTTCTGAAGCTTGGCCAAGAATCCAGGGTGCCCATCTCCCTGGCTGCCTCTGCTCCAGCCTATCCCATGTTCTTCTTCACCTCCTCCCATGTTACCCCCACCAACCAAACCCAGCCTTTTCTGGATGCATCCAGCGGACCACAGCCCAACCCCATAAATCCTGGGCAATGTGGCCCCTTTCGTTCTGACCCAGCGCGGCTCTCCTTGAGGCCCTCTGCAGCAGGGCTTACAATGAGCGGCTCCTTGTTGATATTGTGAAGATCCAAGGCCACCAGGAAGTCTCGTGCCCCCAGGTAGAGCCGCTCCTGGTCTTGGTCCATCAGCAGGATCCGATAATCGCTTGTGTTGAAGGAAAAGCTGAAGGGGCGGGCAGTGCGTGTCTCCAGCAGCTCTGGGGAGATACATCCTCGGAGTCAAGGATCAGTCCCACAAGCCAGCCCACTCCCTCAGCCCACTGGCCTCCAAAAGGAGGGTAAGTCTCAAGCGTCCTCATCCCCCTTCTTTCTTGCTGCCTTCCCCATAGAATGGGCAGCAGCGGGAGCAAGCTAATCTATGTGATCCCTGGTCTGGGCTCAGGCCGAGCTGAGCTGAGCTCAGGGGGTATTTTGGTCCCATGAAGTGGCTAAGGCGGAGCCGACGTGGGTGGTGGGGGGAGGGTGCTCAGCGGCTGGTACAGCAAAGAGCCTAAATCCCCCAGCAATCCCCCTGGCCACATTCCAGAGGCGAAGATCAGAGAGTGGCCTGGTGAGCTTCCCACCTGCGGTGACCTTGGGGATGTGGCCAGAGGACAATCAGCCTCTTTGCCCAGCTACTGTCTGCAGCCAAGTCTGGACAAGAATTCAGAGACCAGGGACAGAAATTGGCCTAATCCCTGTGGACAAGTGGACAGAAGAGCAGATTTCCGGGGAGCTCAGAGAGGGAGACAGGTGGGGAGCGGGGAGGGAAAGGAGCCTGAGTGGGATGAGGAATTGAGATCCAATTAAAATGAAAGGAACAAAAGTAAGTGCAGGAGCAGGACTCCAGGGCCCTCTGCTCTGTTCCTTCTGCTCCGATTCAGCCGACCGACTGAATCTGAACGCCGGAAACAGAACCCAGAGAACCTGGTGGAATTCCCCAAGCATTAACACATGGCAGGTGGGAGACTATCATCCCCCACCCTGCAATAAATGTCAGGCAGCCCCATGGCAGGATGCCCAGGGCAGGGTGTGTCACGCATACCCATATCTGATGTATACAATGACCATTATATAACACTGCATACACCAGCAGTGCTGGGGACCCCTTTCAGGGATATACACACAACCAAGCAATACTGGATTATTTCTTAGGCATTATAAGCAGCAACTTGAGAGGGCATGGGAGAGTTTTTCAGTCATAAAGGAGGTGGTGGCGGTGGTAAACTTGTGACCCTCTGGATGTTGTTGGACTCCCTGTATCCTTTGCCTTTGGCCATTCTGGCTGGAGCTGATGGGAGTTGGAGGCCAACAGTATATGGAGGGTCACACACTCCCCAACTGTGCCATATGAAAACTGGGTGTTATATAATTACCAGTGGAAAACTGTCAGTTATGATAATTAATTACTAGGTGTTAGGTGAAGGTACAACTTCCCTGATATTCTCCTCTGACAGGAAGGGGAGAAGCACCACAGGGTGCTCTTGCCATACCAGCAGCAGTTTGGGAGGCTGTCTATATGGGTCCCCAGAGACTTTGGAGAAAGAATGTGTTTATGACGTTTGCACGGGATAAATCTGGAATCTCTCTGGAAATAACATGCTGTTGTTTTTTCTGTCTGGGGAAATTCATGTGGTGATTCTGTTGCTGGGTAAACAAAGGCATAGTTGCTAAGGAACACAAATCTGCAAGGAAAAGGACCTTTTGGGGCTCTGAAAACCCCTCACGTCTTCTCTCCTTGATTGGGCCCACCAGTGGCAATGGATGGTGTTTTAGATGTGTCTCCACCACAACAATACACAGAATACTTTGAAAGCTGCCCCTAATTTGCACAGCCAAGGTGGAGGGACACTTCTACCAGCCAAAAACCAAACAAATTAAAAACAGGCATCATTTCCTGTATTCGCACACAAGGCATTTGGGCAACTTTGTCAGGAGCGTGCAGGAAGACTCCCTGAAATGCATATCCAGACCAGAGATGTGCCACTAATAAGAGCCTTGCTAGATCAGACCAGAGGCCCATCTAGGCCAGCATTCTGTGGTCACAGTGGCCACCCAGAGGTCTCTGAGAAGCCCACACACCAAATATGAGTGCAATAGCTCTCTCTCCTGCTGTTGTCCTGCAAAGACTGGAGCTCAGAGCACATAGCTGCTATCATGACGAGTAGTCATTGCTAGCCTTATCCGCCATGAATGTGTCTAATCTCCTTTTCAAAGCTGTCTAAATTGGTGGCTGTCACCACATCCTGTGGAAGCAAATATCATAGTTTGAGTAAGTGCTGCGGGAAGAAGTACTTCCTTTTGTCCATTTCCACACAGAGAAGGTATTAAAAACCGTCACCAGACATTTATTAGAACCAGGTGGGTATCCTCTTTCAACGAACCACATTTGGGGTTAGTGCTTGGAGGAAATCAGTTGGGGCATGAAATGTGGGAGGCAGTTATGGATTGACAGTCGGGATGGTGATCAAATTTTGTCGGTTGACAGTGGAGGGGGGAGAGGATGAAGGGTAGAGGGGATTAGCTGAGTGGGAATGTGTTTAGGAGATTACTAGTTCTAATTGCATTCATCCCAGACTTCATTGTTCCTCAAATAAAGCACTTGGTTGTTAGCCCTGGATAACTGTTGGTGAAAAAACATGTTTAAATGGTTTGAACACCTACCCCAACACACCTATTCACTACCTGACCATGAGTTCGTAGTGGATAGCTCAATTAAGACGTTGTGTAAACAGCGTGGAACAGTTGCCGCCGCTACCTACCCCCCGCCCCAATTCCATGCTAGGAACCATTAGGAAAGGAATTTGAAAACTGTCAATGTCATTATGCCATTATACAAATTTTGGTGCAACAGCACTTTAAATACTGGTGCAGTTCTGGTGGTCTCACCTCAAAAAAGAATATGGTGGAACTAGGAGAGGGTCAGAAAAGGGCCACCAAACTGATCAGGGAGATGGAGCAAGTCCCCTGTGAGGAACAGTGGCAACATATGTGGCCTTTGAGTTTAGAAGAAAGGCAAGTAAGAGAATACAGTGGTACCTCGGGTTAAGAACTTAATTCGTTCTGGAGGTCTCTTCTTAACCTGAGGTTCCACTTTAGCTAATGGGGCCTCCTGCTGCCCCCGCACGATTTCTGTTCTCATCCTGAAGCAAAGTTCTTAACCCAAGGTAAAGTGGTACCTCTGGATACGAATGGGATCCATTCCGGAACCCTGTTCACATCCTGAAGTAAACGTAAGATGTGACTGTGCGTCTGTGCGTGCCACATTTCGCCACTTCCGTGCACGTACGTGGCATCATTTTGAGTGTCTGCGCATGCGTGAGCGGCGAAACCCGGAAGTAACACGCTCCATTACTTCTGGGTCACCGCAGAGCGCAACCCGAAAATACTTAACTTGAACCTACTTCAACCCGAGGTATGACTGTACTATTTCTGGGTTAGCGGAGTCTGTAACCTGAAGCGTCTGTAACCCGAGGTACCACTGTACATGGCAGAGGTGTATAAAATTTAGCACGGCATAAGGAGAAAGTGAACAGAGAAAAGTTTTTCTCTCACACATAACGCTAGAACTTGGGGACACCCAATGAAGCTGAACGTTCAAAGATTCAGGGTGGGCAAAAGGAAGTTCTTCTTCACACAGCTGAGCCATGCAATCCACTCCAACAAGATGCAGTGATGGTCATCAGCAACCCGGATGGCTTCTAAGAGGATGAGGCAGATTCATGGAGGAGAAGGCTATGAGCAGCTACAAGCCACCAAGGCGATGTTCTACCTCCACTGTCAGAGGCAGGATGCTTCTGAATGCCAGTGGGTGTGAATCACATGTGGGAAGAATGCCTTTGCTCTCAGGTCCTGCTTTGTGGCTTCCCATAGACATCTGCTTAGCCACTGTGGGAAGAGGATGCTGTACTAGTTGGGTCTATGTTCCTTTCCCAATAAAACTGCCTTGACACTTCCTGCATCTACATACTACTGTTAGCACAGCAAGACTACAACACTTTTGGAAAGCCATGAACTTTAACAAGCCTCTGGAAGTCAGCACGAGTGGCAAATGACCCTTGCAATAGAACTTGCTGTCCCCTCTGCCCCAAGCTCACTGGGTGGCCTCACTGGTTCTATTTTATATCACTAAAAAATAAAATGTTGTTACATGCCTTGGCACAGGGTAGACAATCAGTTGGACATGATCTTCCCACATTGTGCAACAGCAGGAGATCCCACCATATCAAAGGCACACACAAGCAGAACCCACTTTGTAAAGGTGCATGGGCTCTTCATGCGGCAGACGTGTTGAACAGCCACAAAGAACATTGCGCCCCCAGCACAGATCTTTGCCACACCCTGGCCAAGCCCACAGCGCAATCTAGGCTGCAGCAACCAAGTGGCTTCAGTTCACAAAGAGCAACTGCACAACACTCTTCTCCCCACACTGTTCCCAAATAGTAATGCCCAGCCATACTTCCACTGCACACCCTCCTGCCTTCATGAAACATAAGCTGGCCAGGCTCCACATGAGATCACTGACTCCCCAAGCCTGCAATCCATGACATGCGTCCTCACCACATACAGTCCTATGGGTGCACACAGACACAGGCAAACACACGTGTCTATGCATGTGTGCATTCATGCGCGCACACACACTGGGCAGAGTAGTGTTCAGGGCTTTGCCTTTTATAGGCAGGATCGCTGCTGCCAAAAGGAATGAATTGTCCTTTGGCCAAGGATGTTTCTCTCTCGCGCGCTCTCTTGCACACACATGCACACCCATCCACTTCAAGGGCTGGGCTAGCACCAAATGCCTTAGCTGAAGGAAAGGAGGGGAAAGGGGCTGCAAAGAGAGCAGAGGGTTGGGTGCCCATAATGGGGGTTGTGGCACGCACTCCCCCAGCAATTAAACGATCTCCTCTCTGCCCCAATCTCTCTCACTTCCCCTTCCCAACAATGTGCTTTGAAAAGGGGAATCCATCCAAGTGTGTTCCAGCCTCTTCTCTGTATGGCATGCTGGGTATTTTAAGCCCTTCTGGGAAATCCTTTCCCCCTGTGACTGGCAAGTAACCAGATCCCGGAATCCCCGAGAACAGAGAGTGTAGGGGGAACCCAGCAAGGTCACAGGAGATGTATTTGGGGATGGGGGGAGGGCAGCAGCAGAAGCCAACATGACAGCAGAGGACCCACACATACAATGGCATGCGTTTGTGCAACTGGGGAAAAATACACCTGTAGTAAGGCACTTTGCACAGTAAGAACACAGTCTAGGCGATTTTCCTGCCTTCTGGTGGTATCTCAGCATGCAAGGGCATGCCTTGAAGGTGACGCTTGTGCCAAATTCGCAGGTGTCATTGGCACATGAATTGACATGATTTGCTGCATAGGACGCCGTCAGGGAGAGAAACCCACACAAGCAGACTTGGCCCTGTGCACATTGACTGCATGGCCCACTCATGCTGTCCTACACATGGCACAAAATGCTGCTTATGTATGTACAACTCATGGCAACCATTGTAGGAATGTGTTCACCTTCACTTATGTGTGAATGGCTTTATAGTTCACATATATAGTTGACGATCTCTGTCCAAAGATCTGCTTGTGGCTAAACGTTCCCATTTAAGTGTAACCAACTGCTCACACACTTGCCAGCACACGAAAAGGTGTTGCTTATTGTGAGACTACACACGTACAGCTGCCAGAATAAGGCTGCATGATTATGTGGTGCCTATGGAACTTATTGCCATATGGTGGTGCGGCTGCTACAATGAGCAAAAGCATTTTTTAAAAAAATCACAATTAGATGAATGTAAGGAAAACAGACTTCGCTGGTGGCTTCTAGGCATAATAGCCAAAAACGCAGCCACCATAAAGGAAAACAGCATCTCTCTGCCTACCACATCAGAAGGCTTAACAATGAGGGATGGACATGGGCATCAGACTGTGCTTGCAAATCTCTCTGAGGATTCTGGTTGGCTGCTGTTGCCAGAATTCCAAGCCAAAAAAATCCAGGCCGATGGTCAGATACCAACAAACAAATTTCCTGATCTGACAGGAGACCTTTTCCTGTTGCCCCATGGAGGGACCCACTGCACATGCATAAACATAGGTAGAAAGGGGTACCTATTTTCTAGAACAGGAATGTCCAACTCCCAATAGACTGCAATCTACTCACAGTACGGTATATAGAAAAACTGGCAGCGATCTACCCATCCCTGTCATTGGATGGACCAAAGTTGTTGAGTTTTTTTGGGAAAGGCAAAGTTATTGAGCCACTGTTGTTTCCCCCCCTTTTTCGGGGGGGGGGAGGAGATCACTGAGGGGCCAAAGATCTACCAGGATCTACCAGGTACACCCCACCATCTACCAGTAGATCACGATCTACCTGTTGGACATGCCTGCTCTAGAACACCTTACTGTGGGTTCTGTGGTTCTCAAAAAGGAACATCCATGCTTCCTTGCGTCAACCAACTTTCGAGATGAGAAATGTGGCATTGTTCTTTACGGGCCTCATCCGCATGCAAAAAGGGCATCTTCATGTCCTCCTCCACTTGCACACGGGCAGATATCAACATTTATAGTCCACCTTTGTTTGAGCAGCTCACGGCAGCACACATGGGGATTATCCCACTTTATCCTCACGGTCTCCCTGTGAGGTGGGTTAGGATCAGAGATAGTGACTGGCCCAACATCATGTAGGAAGTTTTAGAGCCAATTGTATATCTCTCTAGCCCAAGTGGCCCTGCATCATGCTAGAGTTGTGAAATGATTGCCTACATTTTACACACACAACCCAAAGCCCTTGCCTACCACTGCCACAAGCACCTGTGAATCTGCCCCTGTTTTTCTTCTTTCCTTTCATGTCACTGCTTACTCACATACAACCTGCCCTCTGACTGATCAACACACAGTCTGCTCCTCCTCAATGAATGGCTATGACTTCAAACAATTCCACGGATCTTGGAGTACAAACACAACAAGTGAACATTATAGAGAAAACCACATGTGGAGATCCTCAAGATGAACTCAAGTGCAAATTCAAGGAGTGAAAGATCTCTCTCCCCAAACACCCCCTCCACCAGGCTCATAGCTGTCAACGTTTCCCTTTTTTAAAGGGAAATTCCCTTATTCCGAATAGGACTCCTTGCAAGAAAAGGGAAAAGTTGACAGCTATGACCAGGCTCCTGCACAGTAATAATGCACTATTATTATTAGTAGGGCTGAAAGGTTTAGCCAATCAGTGAGACAGAGCAATTCAAAATCTTGTAGATATTACAGGGCAGCAGATTTAAAATAATTCACTAGCTTTTACCCATGCACATATTTTTGAATTCACAGGCAGCAAGCACATTCAGATGAGAGGAATCACCCCCTTCCAACTTTCTCCCAAGGAGGGAATGCCTCTTCTGGGGTGGGCACCTTCTGTGGGACACCCACATGCACCCATTAAGAATGCTACACTCCTGCCTCAGAACTGTAGTTTTATTCATATGCAAACCAATGCAGATACAGTCAGTTGCTCAATTGATTAAAAATCTTGCATGGCTTAATCAGCTTACCGGTTTCTTTCACCAGCTGACAGCCCTAACTATTCTGATCTTTTGGTACTGCCTGCTGCCATGAGAACCCCGTATTAGGTTGGCTGACAGAAGCAAACATACACATTTTAGTATGGAAAGACAGTGTTGTGTAATGGTTAGTGTTGGACTAAGGAGAGATTGATTAAAATCTCTGCTCAGCTGCGAAGTTCACTGGTTGTCTAGTCATACCTGTTCACCTAACCCTACCTCACAGGGTTGTTGAGAGGGTAAAAAGGAGGGGAACCAGAACTGTGTGCAATGCATTGCCTTGAACCTCGAGACAGGATATCAATAAAATAAAAAATAAATGCAATGGGCTGTAGCCAACTAAGTTCTACTCAAAGTAGACCCATTGAAATGAATGGACCCAAGTTAGTAATGTCCATCAATTTCAGCAGGTCTACTCTGAGCAGGACTAACACTGGATACAACGCAATGAAAATCACACGTCCCTCCATAAGAGTTCTCAGTTCTAAGCAGCGCCCCTTCCCAGAGTTGCCCCAGGACCAGAGCCGGCACTGCCATTAGACCAACTAGGCAGCTGCCTCAGGGGCAGACCTCTGAGGGGCACGATTTGATACAGATTAGTTTTGGTTACATCTTATAAATTCCTGATAATGTTTTACTTTTCTATTTTGAAGAATCTTATGTCTACAAGACATGTGTTTCTGAAGAGTGAAGTTAGCAATTTGGGAGGCGGGGTGCCGGGTACTTAGCCTTGCCCAGGGGGCAAAATAGCCCGGCGCCGGCACTGCCCGGTGGTGCCACACCTCCCGCTTCCCTTCTGTGCCCACCTGGAAGGCGACGCCCACGCGGCCTTGTCCTCCTCCGCCCCCAGCCCTGGGCCTCACCTGAGTCCCGCTGAGCCGCCCTCTTCGTCTTACCTTTGTAGGTTAGGTAGACCCGGGGGGCGCCGGCGCGGCTGCTCTGGCCCAGGCAGGAGCAGCAGCGGAGCAGCAGCAGCAGCAGCAGCAGCAGGGGTGCCCAGGGCGCCATGGCCGAGGGAGTCCTCGGGACACCTGGGGCGGGAAGAGAGAGAGAGAGAGAGACCCCTGGAGGCGCGCCCTCCTTCTGCCGGGCTCCGGGGCACCTGGCGAGGGGCGCGGGCGAGGGATAGGCGCGCGCCCCTGGGCGCTCGGCGGGGAGAGGCCTAGAGGGCGCTGCGTCCGAGGGCGCCAGATCAAAGGCGCTGCCTCGCCCGGCCCACCCGGCGCCCGGCCAAGGCGCTGTAACCCGAGCGGGGCCGCGGCTCCGGGGCACTTCAAAGGCTCGCTCTCCCTCTGCGCGCTCCCCCCTCGCCATTCTTGCTCTCCCCTCCTGCCCTCAGGCCAGCGGCACTTTGAAGTTGGGGGGCGCGGGCTGGGAGTCCCCAAATGGGGGCTGGCTCCCAGCCCACCGCACCCCCCCAAAAAAACCCTCTACCTCATTGGACCGCTCCTGGACCCCGGGAAATGGCGCCCCCTGCCGGCGCCCCGCCCGGAGCCCTTCGCCTTGGGCCGGCCCCCTTCATTCTGGAGAGGGCACCGATGTTGCGGCGGCCTCCTGACGCCATCACTCTCAGCACAAGGGGGCAGGAACGGCAGCAATCCCTCCCCGAGCCCCAGCCGGGCTATAATCTTCCCCATGCCACAGAACAGGTGCCAGGGGACAATGCCAGCAGCACCCCCTCCGCGCGCCCCGCCAGCACACGCAGCTCCCACTCCGTGCCAGCGGGGCTCGGGCTGGGCGCTTTGATCCGCCTGCCAGTCCCGTCCCTTCGGCTCTCCCTGCCCGCGTGCGCCGCGGCGCTGCCCCGTCCTGTCCCTAGTTCCGCCGACGTGCTGCAACCTGTCGCTTCCATACCTGAGCCAGGTGCAGCTAAGCGAAGCAGGGCATGCTGGGACATGGAGTCCCAAATGGCCCCAGGAGCCAGAGGGGCTGGGCTCACCCCCCTACATCGGGGGCCCGTGCTTTGCCTGTTGGGCCACATCTCTCGCTCTCTCCCTCGACGCGCAAGCACTCCGTGTCCCCTTCGGGTGCCAGACTCAGGTCCGCGCCCCCCGAGCCCAGATCCGCCACGGTTTTGTTTTGAACCGGACAGAAGCCTCCCGTTATTTGCTGCCTGGCCCTCACCCCCAAAGCGGCTGCATCTCGGACCAAAGCTGCAACCCCAGCGCGCGCTTTCCCGGGAGCGAGTCCGACTCAAGCGCCCGCGGAACGTCTTTGGGGTAAACGCGCGCAGAGCCAAAGCGAGAAGCGAAGTAGAAGCGGCGCAAAGTGTGTGCGCCCCTCCCCGCTTTAGAGGAAAAATAAATAACAGGAGTGGAGAGGAGGAAGGTTGCAAGCGAGGATTGCAGTGGAGGTTGGTGAGGTGTTCCTGGGAACACTGGGAAGCACTGGGGCGAAGGAACAGGGCCAGGATGGTGGCCAGGGCTGCGGAGTCTCCGGCGAGGCAAGGCGCAGAGGCCACTCACCGCCCCTCGCCCGCGCTGCTCCCGGTTCCCGACCAACGCGGCGGCTCAGAGCCCGCGGGCGCTTCCCCTGGCCGGCGCGCACGAAACTTTCTCGGGGGTGCTGTTCCTCCGGAGGGGAGCCGCTCGCCGCGAAGGGAAGAGGCGCATCGCTGTCCGCCGCCTCCCCAGCCGCCGGGTCCTGGCTTTTGTCACTCTGCGGAGGGAAAGGGAAGCGGCTGCACGTCGCCCCGCCGGGCAAAGCCACCGCGCTAAGCGGCGTGCAAGTTCCTGCTCTGCCTCCCGGAGCCCGAGCGGCAGAGCCGCCTCTCCCGAGACGGGCGGGACGCCTTAACCCCTTCGCTGCTCCCGGAGCAGAAGAGGAGGAAAGCGCTCCCGAGGAGGGCGGGCGGGCGGGCGGCGTGGCGCCCCCTCCTTCCCCGAGCAGGAGGGACTCCGAGCAGATGGGCGGGGGATGGGGAAGACCTTCCCCAGCTGGGGGTCTCAGCCCTGCGCCCGTGTCTTTGATGCCTCCTTGCCTTCTATGGGGCGCTCCTCCAAATCTGCCCCATAGCCTTTGGGTGGTGGTGGGGAGAGAGAGGGAATCCGGCTCCAGGAGCAAAGTCCGGAGTCCGGAGGAGCTGAGAGAGGCCTTTTACCTGCGCCAGGATTGTGTGTCACATCAACCCCCTCTCGTGCCAGGCGGGCCCAGGAGGCTCCGGGGCGCGCTCCTCGGGAGCGGTTTGCATCCTGCCAGCCGCACCTTTGGCCTCTCCCCAGCGAGGAGGAGGGCGGCACCTGCAGGAGGCCAGGAGAGGGGGGTCCCTGGCAGCGGAGCCGGAGAAGGCGGGGTGCGAGGTGCTGGAAGGAGCCCGGGGCAGATCCGGCTGGAGGAGGAGAGGCGAGAAAGACGCCTTGACAGGTGGGCAGGCCGCCCCCCTCCAGAATCCAGCTCTTTCCCACCAGCGCACCCTTCGCACCGGGCGACCCACCTGATCGAGCTCCTCTTAAAAGACAGGATGGCGCCAGGCTTACTTTGGCATCCAGCGGAGACGGGATGGGGCAGCTCTTGCACAACAGAGCCCAGGATGTAGCTTCCAGGAGTGCAGCTCACAGGAGCAGCGCGGCACATCTCTTGCCTCCTTCAAAGGGCGCAGAATGGAAGAAAGTCTCTTTCTCCAACCTCCCCCCCCTCCCTGATGCATCTCTACTCTTTATGATCCAGTGGGTTTTGAGAAAGGAGGGCTGTCAGAAAAGGACAGCAGTCTGAGCCCCCAGCGCGCCGCAGGGCTGACTCACCGCATTTTGAAGTTAGCGAAATAATATACTTTATTGCCCAATGTTTGACTGTCCTGTAAGACCATTTCGTGTGGCCCAAACATACCACTGTTCTGAGGTTGCTTTCCTGAGCTTTGGACCACATCTTACATACAAGGCATAGCAAGCCCAAGATCCAGCCCTGAAAGTTTGCTCTAATGATGCCTCCAGGGTCATCTCTGGTGAGGCAGTTGCATCTTTTCCTTTGCTACAGTACAGGAGAAACATTGAACTCTAAAGGAAAGACCCCCAAAGGCAAAGGCCTGTAAATATAGTCAACCACAGGCACTACAAAACTATGTAAAAAACATGAGTCAGTGAACTGTAAAAGAAACACAGCGCACATGATTTATACCAAATATGGTCTTGTGTTGTGCAGGGATGGGGAACTGGTGCCCCCCCCCCCAGATGTTGGTGAACCATCACTTCCACCACCTCTGATTATTACCTGTCTGAGGCTGATGGGAGATGGCGTCTCACTCTGACAACATCGAGGGCCACAGATTCCCATTATATTTTCACAAAGTGTGTCATTGTGAACCTTGGTCTAGGACAATGCAAAAGGGAGGCCTAGCAGCTTGTTCATTTCATTAGCCTATTGATGAGGATGCATAATTTAAACATTGTACATCACATTGACATGTAATAATATTTTATTGAGCTAATACTTAGAGAGTACTGATTTATTGGGTACCAGATAGTGCCCATGAACATGAGCCTTCTAGATTGAATTGATTGACCAATATGAGTCATGTAGTTCTTCAGTTTGGGTGCAACCTTCCAGCCCATGTGAATCCACAGAATCCTTTAATTTTTACAAAATGACCTGGTGGCGGCCTGGGGGGTGGGGAAGGCGTGGTTGGCCATCTATCAGAATACTGTTACAACGCCTACAGAATCAGAAATACAGTGGTACCTCGGGTTACATACACTTCAGGTTACATACGCTTCAGGTTACAGACTCCACTAACCCAGAAATAGTGCTTCAGGTTAAGAACTTTGCTTCAGGATGAGAACAGAAATCGTGCTCCGGCGGTGCGGCAGCAGCAACAGGCCCCATTAGCTAAAGTGGTGTTTCAGGTTAAGAACAGTTTCATGTTAAGTACAGACCTCCGGAACGAATTAAGTACTTAACCCGAGGTACCACTGTAGTCAGCAGGTTCCTTGCCCTGTGGGAAACACCTAAAGGCTGCATAGGGAAAACATTCTTCAACCAGGTCTTTGGCCGTTAAGCAGTCTTTGGCCTTTTAAATATTTGTGGGGTGGGGTTATATTGTAGTTGTTGTTAGCATTTTGTGTTTTTATGTTGTAAACTGCCCTGTAATCTTTGGATAAAGTGTGGTAATTAAATTTGGATGAAATGTGGTATATAAATTTAATTAATTAATAGGGAAGAGCCATAATTCAGTGGCAGAGCACACTGGTCCCAACTTTAATCTCTAGTTAAAATTATTCAGATGATAGGAAAGACCACTTTCTGCCTGAGACCTGGAGTGCTGCTTCCAGTCAGAGGAAGCAAGCAATACTGGGATTGATGGATAAACAGTCCTAGTATATATATAACAGATTCATTTTTTGAGAGACTCTGTAGATCAGTGCTGGAACACAGATTCAATTCCTGGCATCTCCAGCAGCAGGTCTGGGAAAGACTGATTTGAGATCCTGGAAATCTGATGCCAGTCACCGCAAAACAATACTGAGCGATATGGACCAGAGGTCTGACTCAGTCTAAAGCAGCTTCCGATGTTCTTCATACGACCTTCTCCCCAGGAAGGCTCAGTATAAACTGACCTTGAGAAGGAAAATAAATGCTCTGTTCAAAGGCACAGGAAGCCAACACCCTTCTTGTATTAAGAAAATATCACGCCAGAAGATAATATTTGTGAGTGATTATAGTTGTGCATTGTATATTTGGAAGGGTTTCAAATGTCTTGTGTACATTGGGCTTCTGAATGACCATTCTCACTACCTTCCTTCCTTCTGCTTAAGCCTCCTTCTATTTCAACCACAAATGTAAAAAAACAGAATCAGAGCAGGTGGGAAAGGCAAAGAAAGATGGGAACATGCTCACTTATAAGGTTGCCCTTCAAAAATAAAAATGGAAAAACAGTACTGCACAGAGTTGGGGAAATCCAATTCCCTTCCCTGTGCTAAAGAGTTCCCCTCCCCCACCCCATGCCCAGATTTCCCAGACTAGTGCAAATGCCTCTTTTCACGCTACAGCCTTATTGTTACGAATTGCTGCCCAAGCATGAGCTATTCCCGTCCCCCTCCCCATCCTGTGTGCATGCCACACACAGCAGGAATGGTTCCCACGGTTCCTGGTCATCCCCCCCCCCAACCTCATGGAAGGGGGCTGCAGGGGAGGGCATTACTAAAGGGAGAGGGAAGAGGATGTGTTGATAGAGATGAGAGAGAAATGAGCCTGATTAGGGGAGGAGGGTTTGATTATTCCCATTGCCAGCAGGTGCCGGCGGAAGGAGTTCCATGGGGATGGGGGTGCCTAGCAACACTCTCTGAAGCGCAAACTGGGCGGAGGCAGATGGGACCTGAAAAACCAGCCAAGGAATGGGGGGAACCTACACACCCCCTAGAGGAGTTTAGGTCCCAGGTCAAATTCTTTGGGCCAGGAAATCTATTGCAATCCACAACAGAGGCAAATCCCAGAGAGAAAAACAACTTGGGCATCCATTCTCGCCCTTCATAGAAGCACTCTCCAAGCTTCACTTTCGACCCTTGCAGGTAAATTTGCAAGGGAGTTGAGCCTGTTATTGGAAAAGCCAGAAAGAGACTTCTAGACCTTGTCTACATTGCGTTCAGGCTAACCGTTATGTGGGCCAAATACAGATCTACACTTAAGGTTTCCTCACTATCCCAAGACTGTGGGCTGGAAGAGAATAGAGGTGAAGTTGAAAACCTGTAAATGTAGAAGGTCCCTGATGAGATTTTATAGATTCTCTCTCAGCTATATCTATACTTAGAGTATATATAAAGCACATGGTTTCCTTCAAAGAATCTTGGGAAATGTAGTTTGTTAAGGGTGTTGGGGATAAATTCTTCAGGGATAGACATGTGCTTTAAATGTTTGGTGTGGATGTGACTTTTGTCTGTAACGTCTGGCTGGATCACCCAGTTAATTATACTGTGAAGGCAACTCTTGACACAGTGCATCTGGTGGAGTTAGGGCAGAGGCCAGGACTGAGAATCAGAACTCCTGGATTCTGTCACTTGCACACTCCAAATATGGTAGCTATGCCTAATGTATGCAGAAGACACTATTTTGCACCTTTCCTGAGAAGAACTTGGTACATGTTTTTGGCTCCTGCATAAAGTGGAAAGCAGAAGATGAGGGTGTCTGTGAGAACAGGGCACTTCCAGACGGCTGATAATTTTGCAAGTGGGAATCAGCTGCATACTGGGAAATTCAGGCCATGCAGTTAAGATGGATTTGGTGCTGAGGCTTAAAAAATAAGAAATAATGAGAGTAGCAGGGAAATACACTGGGAAATGTGGGGTAACAATTGCTTAATGGTGACATTCACAACATACATTTTATGCATCATTATACCACTTTAAGGGGATACGGGTGGCGCTGTGGGTTAAACCACAGAGCCTAGGACTTGCCGATCAGAAGGTTGGCGGTTTGAATCCGCGCGACGGGGTGAGCTCCCGTTGCTCAGTCCCTGCTCCTGCCAACCTAGCAGTTCGAAAGCATGTCAAAGTGCAAATAGATAAATAGGTACCGCTCCGGCAGGAAGGTAAACGGCGTTTCCGTGCGCTGTTCTGGTTCGCCAGAAGTGGCTTAGTCATGCTGGCCACATGACCCGGAAGCTGTACGCCGGCTCCCTCGGCCAATAAAGCGAGATGAGCGCCGCAACCCCAGAGTCGGCCACGACTGGACCTAATGGTCAGGGGTTCCTTTACCTTACCACTTTAAGAGCCATGGCTTCTCTCAAAGAATACTGGGAACTGTAGTTTGTTAAGGGTGCTGAGAGTTGTTAGGAGACCCCTTGTCCCCTCACAGAGCTGTTAAACCACTTTGGGAATTGTAGCTCTGTGATGTGAGTAGGGTTTTCAGCACCCTTAACGAACTACAGTGCCCAGGATTCTTTGCAGGAAGTCATGGTTCTTCAAGTGGTCTAACAGAGCTTTAAATTTATGGTGTGGACTTGAACAATTGTATGGATTCCCTGCAAACAAATCAGAATGAATGCTCAGTAAATAGCTGCCATCATAGGAGGTCCCCAGAACCTTTGTGCAAATGAATAATAATGAATGTTCAATAAGTAGGCTGCCTGCAAGTGACCAAGAACAGCTTGAAGGGCAGGACATAAAAGCTGGAAGTAGGCAAGGTGTGGAGGAGGGAAAAGAACTCAAAATTACATGGCAGTTCAGAGGGGAAGAAGGTAAATCACAGATTCCAGCCCCAAGGGCCTTGGCTGTGGAATGCCAGGTATTCCTTCCCCCTCCCTCCATGTCTGCAGTAATTGTCTGCTTTGCTGTTTCCCTTGCTCTAAACCTACATGCACCACCACTCCTTCTCTGACCCTGCAAGTGATCCTGCCACATTTTCCAGTGTCCTTTGGTTCCCCCCTGTCCCTGCCCTGGCTTTAAGGCAATGGTCAGCAACTGACAGCCCCCAAGCCAAATCTAGCCCACAAAAGACTGCCAGCTGATATACAGACCATGGAAGCAACAAGCCATGTTCCAGGTACAGACATATAGATATTTGCTTCCAAACCCCAAACACACACCCCAAACACACTTCCTCACAGCTTATTGCATGCCTCTGTGAAGTTTCTGCCAGAAAAGGGGGAGGGGCTTTGGATGAAAAATGTGGGATAACCAGCCTCATATAGCCAACATGCTTAAGTCTAAGTAATGCATGAAGGGGTTAAATGCCATAGAGTAAACTGTCTGCCAGGCTTAGCTAGGGCACTCCCACTCTCCTTGGGAGGAGGGTAAACAAGCCTATTGTTGTACCTCAGTCTACCAGCGAAGCTAAGCATGTAAAGAGGTCTGAGCCGGTTGCTCTAAGCTCAGACCGCATGGCAATAACAAGCCACTCTTATGTTCCTATACCAATAATTTAGGAACTTTCATCACTTTATAACAAAACCAAGTTTTACTGCCTGTGTAACATTTTCTGAATGCCATAAGGGAAAGTGCATGAATCCAACCTTTGAAGAGTTTGCAAGCAAATCATTTTTAACTTACCAAACATGTGGTCTTTTTCTATGCTAAGGAAAGAGGGGACTATTTTGGAACTCACAAGGACATATTTTAAAGGTCTAAGAGCCTATATTTCAATGCTTTACTTTGCTGCATGTTTTGTGGTTGTAAATCTCTGCTGGGGTTTCTCACCAAAGAATGCTTGCCTAAAACCTGGATAATGGCATCTGGAAAGTGTGTACATACACACACCCCACCTCCGTATTTTTTCCTTGCCACCAACAAGGAAAAGAAGGGCTTGAAGTTTCAGTGCTAGGCCCAATATTGGCCTTGTACCGACTTGAACTCTACAATGTATTTGAGAGCATTTTTTTTATTGATTCGTAGTTTTAATTACGGTATAAGATTATAGTCCAAGTGCTGATATCAGCTATACTTCCCAATTGCAGACACATATTCTATGCAAATACCATGCTTGGGAGAAGTAATGGAAGACTGTACAAATCAGAAGTTATCTGGAGGGTCGACTATGTATTGTATGGAAAATTCTCCAGAACGTCTACCATGGTTTTTCTATCTTTCTCCCTTAAAGTCCTTAGGACGATGCCTTACATATTCTTGAAATATCTCCATCTCATTTTTGTTGCTTGTTCCTTTACTGAAGCAATAGCTGGCGCAGAAGTCCACAGTAGCCTCAAGACTTGTTGCTAGACTCTCACTCCCAGGGACAGGCCTCTAGTTGATGGCATTGTCCGGAAAGGTGCGCATCTGGGCCATCCCAGCTGAGACTTGATAGACCACTGCTGGAGGCAACTGTAGCAACTGCCCTTCACCTGGTGATTTGTTTTGGATATCCCATGGTGCCTGCAGAGATGAGGAGAGCGGGGCCACTTCCAGCACGGAAAGTCATGCACCCGGTAATCGACTGCAGAAGCTGAACCGTCCAACGCAGCACCTTCAATAGGAATGAGAACACACTGATATGTGTGTTCAGCCTAACTCTGCCTCCCTAAACAATGAGAGGATCAGGAGGAGCATCCAGTTACTTGGTCCACAGGCTGCTGCTCTCCCACGGGGCAGGAATAATTGGTGCTTGGCTTGTCTGGACGTTTTTTCTATCCAGTCCACATAGGAGGTGATGCTGGAGGACAGAACAACCATCTGGGATCCCGGAAAGGGCTCACTCATCAAGCCAACCTGGCTCCATGTCATGCTCTTGGCCTCCAAGTGGCACAGCAGGGCTGCACCCTCACCTACCTGGGAGAAGAAGAAGAAAAGAATGAAGCAAGAATGGCCTATCACAAGGTGTGAATATGAGTGGTTGGTTGGAGGCTGTTTGGAGAGATACTCACAGCAGCACCAGGCAGGTAGCTAGAGCTATTTCTTACAACACAGTACATGCCTGGATTGACCCCAGGATGTTCCTTGGCACAGTCTGAGGGCATCAGCACCTTGACTTGGTATGCGCTGGAGTCAGCCCCAATTTCACCTGTCAAAAGATGGGTGATTAGCCAGCAAACTGCTTCCAATTCACTTCCCACTTTTGGGAAAGAAAACTTCCAGAATCCTTCCTCCATCCTATGGCATACTGCCCCAAGCTCCACCCTGTCAGAATCCAGCCTTGACTCCCAGATCCCCGGACTCTACATTTGTCCATTGAATCACACCATTTTATCCTGAACTAATTTGTCTCAGGAATTGTGCCCTCACCCCACCTCTGCTTCCATCACCACAATAATAATCTAGTTTAGCACCACTGAAAAATCCACCACGTCCCTACGCTTTTAGCCATATGCTTTCATCATATCTACACTATAAACGTGGGGCCTAATTGCGAGGGACACATTACCACAGACATATGGTCCCCTCCTGCCAGGTAACATTTAACTACAAAAGACATGAGATATGTCATCATTGCTTTCAGTGTTTTTTCACTGTACTTCATTGGATGATGTTTGCAAGGAAGGATGTGCATGATGATGGCATGTAACATGTCATTTAACAAATGTTACTAGGGAGACACAAGAGGGGCCGTGAGGCAGCGACAGTCAAGAGTTCCTCTCAACATCTTTCTGATACACTTGCACTAATTTAATAGCCGTTCCTTCTCCTCAGATAACCCTGGGGATTTTTTGCTCTATGAGGGATCGCTGAGAAGTCTCAGCACCCTTGCCAAACTACAATGCTCAGGATTCTTTGCAGGCAGCCATGGCCATTGCATAAAGATTGATGGAATATAGATTTGGAGAGTAGATGTGTCCCTGGTGGGTGTGTCTTCAAGGACTGTCTACTTCCACTCAGCACAGCTGATCCTTACAGTTCACACACAAGCTGTGTGTGTGTGTGTGTGTGTGTGTGTGTGTGTGTGTGTAAGCAAACGCGCGCGCACGCACACAGAGTAGTTGGGGGCAAAAGCCAGGTTAAGCTCCATTGGCTGCCTGCACAAATCTTGATGCATCGTTACAGGGCTTCCAAATGAATGTACTAAGGGATATTTGATGTTAAGGAACAGAGACTGTTTGAAATAGTCTTGGAGCATACAGCCCTATACAATAGCAAGGTCCCTCTCTCCTCTCCCCCTCCCTCCACCCCACTCCCAGTCAGTCTCCTGGCATACCAGATGGCATCATTTGTAGACCCATCACTTTGCAGCTATCCCAGGGCTCCTTTGGGAAGTATGCCATAGCAGCCACATGTTGGTCAAAGGCGATGGGCTTCTGGAGGAGCAGCAGAGCCACGTTGTAGCTGCCAGAGAGACTGTGCTGTGCTGTCTCCTCATAAGGGTAAATTGCAGCAACATGGATGCCTCTGGCGTGGCCCTTGGGGTGTGTCAGCCTCACAAAGACAGCTATGTTTGCTGGGTCCCTGCAAACAGTAAAGAGGGGCCTGGAATAACTCTGTTTTGGGTCAAAGGAAAAGCAACAAGGCAAAGGGAATAGTGTAGGCTAGTCCATTAAGGCAAATGGGGCACTGCTCCACCAACCTCAGTCTGCCCTAAGCCCCTACCCACCTGCCTTCTTAGCTACAACCAGTTCAGGTGATGGCACTGGCCGTCTGCTTTTTCCTCCTCCTCAGTCTCTGTGTTGCCCTTGCAGAACTCCGCAGGGAGCAGGATGGGGACAAAACTAGAATCAGTGGGCGCTGGCTGTTATTGACTCCAACTCCATTGTGGCCTCCCTGCTTTCCACCCTACCAGTCCCAAATGGGCACTAGCCATCACTAACAGGGAATAGTCTCTTGTTCTTCATTTTTTTTGCTCTTGGTAGGACCCATAAGGTCGGCGGTTCAAATCCCCGCAATGACGGGGTGAGCTCCCGTTGCTCAGTCCTAGCTCCTGCTAACCTAGCAGTTTGAAAGCACGTCAAGTGCAAGTAGATAAATAGGTACCACTCCGGCGGGAAGGTAAACGGTGTTTCCGTGCGCTGCCCCGGTTTGCCAGAATCGGCTTTGTCATGCTGGCCACATGACCCGGAAGCTGTACGCCGGCTCCCTCAGCCAATAAAGTGAGATGAGCGCTGCAACCACAGAGTCGGCCACGACTGGACCTAATGGTCAGGAGTCCCTTTACTTTTACCTTTAGGACCTATAATGATGGGACAGGGCAGGCAGCAGGCTCAGCTATGTTTACATAGTTTATTCAAAGTAACAAGTCCTCCATAAACTATGGTAAACCTGATGTTGACCCATGTTAAAATTAATCTGGGCCTTTTTCTTGCTTCTGTTCATATTATCTGAGCTCATTGGTGATGCTGCGAAGTACAGCCATCTCCCTTTCCTGTATGCCCTCTGAGCAGCTATATCCTACAGCAGGGGTCAGCAAACTTTTTCAGCAGGGGGCCAGTCCACTGTCCCTCAGACCTTGTGGGGAGCTGGACTATATTTTGGAAAAAAATAATGAACAAATTCCTATGCCCCACAAATAACCCAGAGATGCATTTTAAATAAAAGGACACATTCTAATGTAAAAACACACTGATTCCTGGACCATCCGCAGGCCGGATTTAGAAGGCGATTGGGCTGGATCTGGCCCCCGGGCCTTAGTTTGCCTACCCATGTCCTACAGCCTAGGTGAACAAAATAGGTGTGCCTCTTTCACATTCACCCTGTAATGAAATGTCTCCCTACCCTCCCATGTAGCACGGAATGGGTGAATACAGTGGTACCTCGGGTTACAGATGCTTCAGGTTACATGCGCTTCAGGTTACAGACTCCGCTAGCCCAGAAATATTACCTTGGGTTAAGAACTTTGCTTCAGGATGAGGACAGAAATCGTGCAGCGGTGGCACAGCGGCAGTGGGAGGCCCCATTAGCTAAAGTGGTGCTTCAGGTTAAGAACAGTTTCAGGTTAAGAACAGACCTCCAGAATGAATTAAGTTCTTAACCCGAGGTACCACTGTATTGATAATGAACTAGAGTTCCCCAGAGGGCATGGGCTCTGATCTTCTAACACAGGGCTAGAGAACCTGTAGCCTGTGGGTCCAAGTTGGCCCGCCTTGCTTCTCCCTTTTGACACTGATTCTGAGGGAGGCCAGGAGAATGGGAGCATCACTTACGTCTGTTGAACACACTGTGCTGTAGTCAACACCCAGTAGCGGTTCAGAATTGAGCCCCCACAGCTCTGATTCTCACATGTGGCGATGAGCACTTGCCAGGGCAAGGACAATTGTGCTGAGATCCATGCAGCCAGGGCTGAAGAGGGCAAAAAGGCTGGGTCAGTGTGTGGTGGGAGAGAGGACAATAGCAGAGCAAGGGAGGCTAACTCTAAACAGCAGGAAATGTACATGGAATGCCATTCCTGTCAGGGGTGCTCTGGAAGGCATTGTGCCATCCTATGTACAGGCCACAGTGACCTGGGGGAGAAGGGACATGTGTTTTGAAACAGGTCACATGAGAAATTCCAAGCTATCACTCACTCTCTGGTTTCTGTAGCTGCTCAAGATTTTTTGTAGGCCTCAGATGTTTCCAAGGAACTGTGCGATTGTAACGATACCCTGCAACCTTTGTGGTCCTCTCCAGCCAGGGCAGGTAGTGGGGCAGACTGCTGAAGACATAGGGGCGAGAGCAGGCTTCATCAAAACTGCTCAGTACCCCCAGCTGAAGCCAGGCCCCACCCTGGGGGTCAGGGCAGATCAGTGGAGAGCCCACATCACCCTGGATAGGAGGAGGGAGAAGGAAGAGAAAATGAAATTAATGAATGTTAGAATGATGACGGATTGAAGTTAAGCTGTTTCTAGCGGTAATGGTATAAAAAAATATGGAAAAATTGGTTTTTAATATGTAAAAATTTAATGTTATAATTTATCAAGATTAAAGATCAGGATTAAAAAGGAGGGAAAGGAATTGCTGGATTAACATATTGAATTGGAATACAAAAGAGGGAGGTATGAGGAGGTCCGGGAAACAAGTAAATGTAAAAGAAGTGATGAAAAGATGGAATTGTTTTTAACTGTTTTTTCTTTTTTGTATTTTGTATTTTTCCATTTTATTGTTAATTTTCTTATTAATGTGATTTTTTTCTTTTGAAATTTTAATAAATATTATTTTTAAAAAAAAGAGAAGGAAGAGAAAATGAAAATGAAAGAAACTTCCCAACCGTTACACTCTTTCAAACAGCAGTTGACCTGCTTTCTGTGGGGCACTTCGTGCTAGAGCTGGCTCAGTGGCTGCCTCAAACAGCAGGAGCCCCCAAGCCCTGCAGGTGCCCCACCTGACCCACTGTTGGCACAGAAGTGGTGCTAGTTTGGTGCCAATTTTGGCTGAAATCGCATCCGAAATTTTGCAAGACCTTGTGGAGCATGCACAATCTTGAGCAATTTCAGTGATATCTCACCCAAAATTGGCAGCAGGAAAGGGATGCGGGTGGCGCTGTAGGTTAAACCACAGGGCCTAGGACTTGCCGATCAGAAGGTCGGCGGTTCAAATCCCCGCGACGGGGTGAGCTCCTGTTGCTCGGTCCCTCCTGTCAACCTAGCAGTTCAAAAGCACGTCAAAGTGCAAGTAGATAAATAGGTACTGCTCCAGCGGGGCGTAATGGTCAGGGGTCCCTTTACCTTTACCTTTATGGTAGCAGCAGTGGCAGGGCAAGGCGGCATTTCCTGTTTTGACATGCCGCCTCTATGCAAACCATGAAACAAGCTAATTTGTAAATACCCATCTACTGGATCCATGAAAGCAGTATGAGAGAGACAGAGAACATGCAATATCTAGGTGCTGTTGTACCCCTGAAATAGCTATGTGTGCCAGGCAGGAATTATGTCTTTTAACCTCTTCAGTTTAACAAATGGGTGAGGAGACTGACTTTTTAATCCACAGCCAGCTGATATCAGCACCGAGTCAAAAAGCGGTGGAGGTGGGTCATAATGATGATCTACTCCCAAGCTCTCTCTCACCGTGCAGACTCCTTCCGGGCCCATTTGAGCCTTGATACAGAATATGGCGTTGGAGGGCTGCTCTCCAAGCTGGTCGCAGCTGGTGATGCCCAGGATGTCTAGGGGATGTCTCAGCAGCACGGCAGGGCCTCCTACAGCAAGGAGAGAACATATGGGGGTAGCACCATCTGCCCTCAAGTTAGGCAGCATAAATCCATCTCCATGCCCTCAGTGATGACCACCAGTAGGGATCACAAGAAGATGTGGCAGGGCACAGAGATGAGGATCCTTTCGCCTTCCAGCTGTTGCCAGACTACAGCTCCCATCATACATGACCTTTGACAATGTTGGTTAAGGCCAGTGGGAGTTGGAGTCCCTTAGCAACTGGAGTACTGCAAGTTCCCCACCCCTATAGTAGGATAAAGAAAGTGAGCAGATGGGAACAGGAAGGCTGAAAGCTGAAGTGGGCAAGAGGAATAAGGAGAAGAGTCCAGACCAGGGCAAAAGAAAAGGAATATTGGGATAGAGAGTGGACAATGGACAGGACAGAGAGTGGACAATGGACAGGAGTGTCCATGAAGATGAACTGTGGAAGGTTGATGTTCCCAGACTTATCTGAAACAACAAGCCAGCTCTTTGGCTGCCTGCAAGAGTGATGTAACACTAGCATTATACCTTTCATGCATAAAAAACCAAACAGACTTATCTCTCTTGGGTATCTTTTCTGGGGACCCTAACTGCTAACTGATATGCAATCTTGCTCACAGAATCACAGAAACTAGAAGAACCAACAAGGTCATTTAAGAGAGCCCCTCCCTGTGCAATTCAGATCAAAGTGTACAAGCAGAAAGCAAGTGCACCACTTACCTTCCAGCACAGACCAGCCTGGAAGCCAACAATTTCTGAAGTCACCTATTGTATCTGCCTTGTCTGAGAGACACACAGGTGCAACAAAGGGACCAAATTCCAGTGGCTCCTCCAGTTGCAAAAGGCCCAGGTTGTGAAGGTCCCTGTGCTCCAACCAGTTTGGGTGTGTCAGAGACTGGCGGGTCTGCACTGAGTACGTTGCCTTGGAGATGTCAACTAGACCAGCCTGCACCAGGGCCAAAGCTTCTGAATTTTTTCTGAAACAGAGATACAGCAACATAACAGTGTTCAAATATCTTTAATACGGTCAATGACCAGCAAGCAATTTATAAAATAAAATATGGCAATATAAGTACTATTGTACTACAGATAACAGTGGTGAGATGGCCAAATCACAAAATTGGTACTTATGTTTGTGACCAAGTTTCGACTTTTAAGGTTTTAAGGATTCAATTCAAATGTCACTACTGTTTATTATCGTTCCTTGGATGTTTGCTAAACAGTATAAATTGAAAGCTTTTGCTGATGACTTGGTTTTGACATTACAGGAGCCAGAATCCAGTACCAAAAGAGTATTGCAATTTGAACTCCGTTGCTGTCATCATTGCTCGTCTTATTCTTGTTGCAATGTAACAGTACTTCGCCACAGGCCTGTTGATTTCGGGGTCTTTGTCAGCTAAGAGGTGTCTGATATAGATGTCGTCTGTACTACGAGGTATTTTCCTCAGAATCGGCTTGATCAGCTCTTTTCTTCAGTCTCGATATAATGGGCAATATAAGATGACATGCCCGATGGTTTCAATTTCGTTGCTGTTACAGGGACATAATCTTTGTTCGATCGGTATTTTGTTGTATCTTCCCTCTAGAAGAGCTGAAGGGAGAGCGTTAAAGCGGGCCCTGGTAAATGCCCATCGGTGTTTAGCATTATGTAGAACTTTGAGATAGTTTGCTAAATGGGGGCTTTGGGAATCGAATAGGAGTTTATGAGTTATCGGAAGTTGACTAAAGTCATTTTGGGCTTCAATGTCCCTGAGTCTTTCTTTAATTATATTCTTGGCCCTTCCCCTTTCTAAACTTAATAAATACTCTGGGGAGAGACCATATGTGGCCAATTTTCTGAGAATGCCCTTCAGCCAACTAGATTGGAATTTGTCAAGAAGCATCAGGGAAAGTAGTCCAACCGGCGAGTTGTTAAGTCTTAGCCAAGTGCATAAGGTTCTTATCCATACTTTGGTTTTGATGCTGTATAAGCCCGCTTCCAGTCGCAACATAACAGTTTCAGCAACCACACACAACATGTTGCGGAAGCAGGTATCGAGCACTCCATTGTAGACACTGTTGTTATTTGAACTTTTATTATATGAACTGTGAACTTTATACAAAATGCAATCAAATAAAATGTGCTTCTGTGGCCCCATAACACCTGCACAGCATGTAAAACAAATGACATATATTTGGGGTGGGAAGGTTATTAATGCTACATAAGGACTTCCTACTTCATAAGGACTTCCTACTTCAGTGGGCGCAGAATGATGAACACATGTTCCAGTGTGGTGGCTGGGTAACTTTTTAAGGCGCAACTCAGCACAAGTCTGGAAATCACTGAGAAGGATAAAAATGCATACTGTTCTAGCATGCTAGTAAACCACCCTGTGATCCTAGGATGAAGGGCAGTATAAAATAATAATAATAATAATAATAATAATAATAATAATAATACAATAAAATTGAGCATTTTAAAATGGATGCAATACTGGTAGCAAACAGGTGCTTGGGGCAGCAACATATTTTGTAAGAGTGAACGGCAGTAAAACGGCAAATGCAATTCAGTGTATTCATGGGCAAACAACAACAACTTCATTTGACTTATACGCTCATGGGCTCCAAAGTGGTGGTGATTGACCAGGAACGAAACCAAGGGGTCATAGCGGATAGCTTGATGAAGATGTGTGGCAGCTGTGGAAAGGTAAATTCCACTTGAAAATAAAAATGCTGTTATCATAATGCAGTTATTCAAGTCAACTACCTTTGGAATACTGTGTACAGTTCTGGTCACCACAGCTCAAAAAGAGTATTTATTGTAGAGCTGAAAAAGGTTCAGAAATGGGCAACCAAAATGATCAAGGAGATGGAGCAACTTTCCTATCAGGAAAGCTTACAACATTTGGGGCTTTTTAGTTTAAAGAAAAGATGTGTAAAAGGAGGCATGATAGAAATGTATAAAATTATGGAGGAAGTGGATGGTGTTTCATAACACTAGAACTTTGAGACATCCAGTGAAGCTGAATGTTGAAGGATTCAGGGCAGATAAAAGTACAGTTTTGAGTAAAACCATTGAAATTCATTCCTTATATCTTTAGAGTTTTGGTCTACCACTGCAATTTTATTTATAATATTCTGTTTTTCCCCCTTCTGCAATTGCCATGCCATGTATGGCACCGAAAAATTAATTTTACAGCTTGTTATCAGATGAAGGAGAATATATTAAAAATTGTGTATAGGTGGTACCTGATGCCCATAAAACTCATCAAAATGTACAAAAGGGGCTCTAAACTCTGTTGGATATGCTCAGAGGAGGAAGGATCCCTAGAACACATGTGGTGGCCTTGCAAGCAATCATAAAATATTGGGAGATGGTCTATGAAGAATTTTTTAAAATGTTTAAATTCACCTCCCCCCCCAAAAACCCCGAAGCCTTCCAGCTAGCCATCATAGGAGAGGAGCTACCAAAAAAGATGTGTAACTTATTTTTATATGCCACGGTTGCTACAAGAATTATGTATGCAAAGATTTGGAAAGACAAAGCTATTCCAACAGAAGAGCAATTGTTCGATAAACTGACAGTTTGCAGAATTAGCAAGCATGGCTTCTAAAATAAGGGATTGTGATGAAGGGAGGACAAGGGCTGAGTGGGAATATTTCAGAGAGTATCTAAAAAGAAATGATATTACAACTAGCCTGCAAGCAACCGTTTGAACAACAGTAAAGTAAAACGAAGGAATTGGTAGAATTAAAATAAGGTGTAGAAAACAACGGAAATGCAGTAAACTAAGATTCTGTTAATGTCACTGAAGGCTAGGTTGGGAAGTCTGCAAAAAATAGTATAAGGTAAAATGTGTATGGTGTACTGTAAAATTGAAAATGCAGAGAGAGAGAGAGAGAGAGAGAGAGACCAAGACAATGCACCCATCTTGAACTAGATCAACCTGAATAACAGGATACTTACATAAGGTTGGCACAGTTGGCTGAGGTTAAAATCCACCAGGGGTTGAGAATGGAGCCAGCACAGAAATGCTGGATGGGCAGCTTGAGAGCAACAGCCCAGGGAAATTCCCCCAACTCAGCCTCAGAGCAGCTTGGGCATTTGGGCACAAAACCAGGCCGCAGCCCACATCCTGAAGGGAAAGACCAACATATTAGAAATGAATTTGCTTGCCTTCAGTTCTCAGATTATCTAACAGAAGTCTGAAGTAATATTATCCAGTACAGTCTATTTCCCAACAGAATGATGGGGGAGCAACTGGTGGCACACACATAACCAGTTCCTCAGATCTCCCCATTATTATTATTATTTTTCAGGGGTGGGGAGTACATGTACTCACCAAATTTGCGATCCGTAAGAACTGCCATCTTGTTAAGTTGGTAGGTATGGGAGTTGGCATCCCATGCCAGTCCCATCTCACACTGTTTCAGCGTCACCTGTACAGGGAGTTGCAAGTTGGGCATTATGGTTACACTAGGTGGGGCAAGTAATGCTAGGGAAGGGCCAGGAGATGGGCCTTCCTCGCGTTTACTCTTGGGGAACTGTGGCCTAGCTACAACAATATGAACAGGAGCACCTTGGTTGATATAAGTGTCTGGTATGGATGCTACGGCTGTTGAAGGAGGCGTTTGTGGCTGTGAAGTGGTAGCAGGTATTATTATTATATGTGGTTGTACAACAGCTGACATTTCTGTTGAGTGTATTGTGGATGTTACAGATATTTGGTTGGTTGTAGAGGATGTTGTGGACGACTGCCCTGTTGTTGTGGACGACTGCCCTGATGTTGTGGACGACTGCCCTGTTGTTGTGGACGAATGCCCTGCTGTTGTGAACGACTGCCCTGATGTTGTGGACGACTGCCCTGCTGTTGTGGACGAATGCCCTGTTGTTGTGGACGAATGCCCTGCTGTTGTGGACGACTGCCCTGCTGTTGTGGACGAATGCCCTGCTGTTGTGGACGACTGCCCTGCTGTTGTGGACGACTGCCCTGTTGTTGTGGACGACTGCCCTGTTGTTGTGGACGAATGCCCTGTTGTTGTGGACGAATGCCCTGTTGTTGTGGATGACTTCTGCATTGTTGTGGATTTTAGTGCTATTGTAGATGTTGCAGAAGATAGATGTTCAAGTGTGGAAGACACTACAGAAGATGTTTCTCTGGCCATTGTAGATGTCTGTCCAGTTGTTGAAGATGATAAAAATGGGGAGTGTCTGGTAGTTGTAAGTGTTACATGGGGTGTTGTGATATTGGGGAGGGACTGTGTTGTTGTGGATGTTTTCTGAATTGTTGTGGATGTTGTAAATTTTACATTATTATCTGCTGAAACTATTGTGACTATTGACTGTAGTCTGTTGAGTGCAGATGTAGAGTGCACTGAAGTTGTAGGTATTACAGTCAATGGTTTTGTAGCTTCTGGCGATAAGAGTTCATTTGTAAAGGTAGAATCCAACAGTGGGGGGTTGGTTGTCACTTCTGATGGTTCTTCTGTTACTTCTGATGGTTCAACAGGTCCAACTGCTTCAGATGCTTCAGATTCTTGTTCTACAATTGGGGGTGTTATAGACGCTTGTGGGACTTGTGTGGTTGTTTGTGCTGTTGATGTGAATACTATGCCTGTTGGGAATGTTACAGATTCTCCAGCTGTTGAAGATAATTCTCCTTCTGTTTCAGACAGAGCATATAATGGTGTGATTGCTGGGGGAGGCAATTCACCATTAGTGGTCTTGCTATCTTTCAGTTGTGGACCAAGTGCTCCTTCTTGACTCAGCCACTTCAAATGGGATAAAATCTGAGAAGCCAGGATAGGAGCTGTGCAGTCGTGTAAGCTCTGGGACACAACACCCATCACCTCCCAGTGCCCGCTGCCAGGGTCACGACAAATCACAGGACTGCCTACAGACACCTGTAGCAGAAAAGAGAGCATGATAATCAGATATGGAATGAGACAACTAAAGCAGATGATAAAAAGGGTCTGTGCCACTAAAAGCAGTAAGAAAGGCTGCCTCTTGGGAAGCATAGGAGCTCAGTAGTTTTTTTTCCAGCTCCTCAGCTATGCTGCAGTTGGCATGAAGAGGCAATTATTTTGTTTGATTGTGCTGTTTACTGTCCGCACCAGCAGGTAAAACATGACAGGATGTGTCCAGAATGAAGAAAAGGTGTCCCTGTCATCCCCGCCCTTCATTTCTCCTACATAACTATTTGTGCTTTCTGGTAATGTTTGTTGGTGTCCTATACACTTGTTCACACTTAAAAAAAAATCCCATTAGAATTCTGGTATTTCCAAACCTTGGCCAATCTTCCCTTCCCCTCTGCTGACTGTAGTTCCTTTCTAATCACATTGGTCTTATCAAATAGTATAAGACTACATCTAACTTCCCACATATACAAAATGGTGACTAGAAAAGGGAAGTATAGAATGGACACCCACTAGAGAACTGATGAGGTAGAGTTGGTTTGTAATACAGAATCACAATTTGCTGGTCGTTGCTGAAGTATGAGGGAAGTGCTACCCTTCTCATATGGCGCTGCCTTTTTGAATTTTGAACAAGGACCCCAAAATGCAAAGAGATATGACAACAATAGCATTGTGTGAAGTGCTCTGTCCTGGTACCCCATTTGCTAGAGAAAAGGCACCTGGCAAGGGATCCAGGAAGAGAAGAAATGTTAGCCATGCTTAAGCTCCTGGGTTGTTCTGGAGACAGGTTGCTTTGTACAAGAGGCTTCTTCTCTGTACAAAGTACCCTTTCTAGCTGTTTCCTGTGGCCAAGGTTCCCTTTTGTGAGCCTTATGTGTACAACATGAAGTCAGAGAGATACAGACACATGCTGTGCACCCTATTATCTGGTCTCCCTGTGTGGGATTTACCGGTATATACAAATGGTAATGAGCTGTGATGGGTTGATGAGTGAGTCACCCCATATCCACCCCATTACCAGAAAGCACCGCATATACTCTGTTGTGGAGATGTGGTCTGGACAAAAATTTATGTGCAAGTGGCCATTGTTCAATCCCTCCTCCCCAACGTGATCAGCGGGAAGGATTTTTTGTGGCCAGGTCTAGCTCCTGCCAACCTAGCAGTTCGAAAGCATGTCAAAGTGCAAGTAGATAAATAGGTACCGCTCTGGCGGGAAGGTAAAAGGCATTTCTGTGCGCTACTCTGGTTTCGCCAGAAGTGGCTTAGTCCTGCTGGCCACATGACCCAGAAAAACTGTCTGCGGACAAACGTCGGCTCCCTTGGCCAGTAAAGAGTCGTTCGTCAGGGGTCGGCGTCAGGGGACTTAACTGTCAGGGGTCCTTTACCTTTACTAGGGTTGGTGTAAAGTGTGTGTTTGTGTGTGTGTGTGTGTGTGTCCATTCACACAATCGATCCTGAATCCATTCATAAGGGATTACCATGCAGTTTGTGTCATTAGACGCCTCTCTTGAAACGCACAAGTTCCATGATTTGCCTATGTCAGCCCATTGCTTGGCACATTCCGATGTCACCAAAGTATGCACAATGATCTCCTTCACTGACCATCTGAAGGACCCTGTGAAGAAGGAGAGATGACTATAAACCGCAAGGCCTGTTAGCCTAACTCCAGGGATCCACTCCAGCACTCATCAGTCTCAGCGCTGTGCGTGTGTGTGCATGCTTTTTTAAAAAATCAAATTCTCCTACATAGCTTTCTCTAACTTCTAAGCCTTCACTGACCATATTTTTTCTAATATTTCCATAGCCCTAAGATATATAATTTATATAATTATATAATAATATACAATAATATAATTGAGTAATAATCACCCCAACACTCAATATATTAAACTATGTGCCAAATACACATTAGTTGAGTATAGTGGTTCTAACAGATGTGACACATACACTTAGCTTTTTTAAATAACTTGCAGACTTATTAGTACCTATGACTTTGACTCTGGGCTGTGGTCACCTTCCCCACTAGCACAACCCCCTCAAACCTTGACAGGGCACCTCCAAACTCACCGTCATGTCTCCGCTCAATAATCCTACATTCCTCTTGTGTGTCATAGGGTTTTTCTTTCCGAATGACACAAGCTGGCCATATGTCTGGCTTCCTTAAATCAACTGGCTGGCCAAGCAGAATGAGTCCCAGGTCATTGTTGGGTGGTGCATCCCAAGAGCTGAAACCCCGGTGTGAAATGAACTGGCTCACTGTCTTGGTGCTGAAACGTCCGTGAGCGCCAGTGAATTCTACATTGCTCGGCTGCCTGCAAGGCAAACATGGAAGGTCATTTAATAATCAACCATAGCTATCAGATCCTGAATGGCGAGACCTTACTCCACAACAACCTGTTCATTGTTCAGGCACTCTCATTTCAGAACCAACCATCTTAGGACCAGAGCTAGCACTCCATCAGGAGAAAAGCACTTCCAATCTCTCACATTACTCACATCAGTAGGAAACAGTTGGCTGCTGTCAGGACCCACCAGCTGCTCAGGACAACTCCTTGGCACCTTTTGCCATTGCCAAATATGTTCACTAACCATGGTGCTTCCAGGGCTTCTCTCTCTTCTGGGGAGGGAGACTTGTCCCAATTCGTCCAGGGATGTCGGATGCTACAGACTACAGAGGAACAGTAGAATATTGTAGGATCTCCCATTCCCTGCATCTTGTCTGTGGTACAATGTGTAATATATACTTTAGTTGGGGCTTTGGATATTGAGCTGTGGTTAACCCCAATGGAGGAGTCTTTGATGGCTTACCAACACTCCAGGCCAGTTCTAGAGTTAACCTCTAATGTAAACCAGTATTGCACACCCTCCCTCAATATGGTACAGGTTAGTCAAATGAATTAGTTGGTTGTGCAAATGAATGCCACATGGGACCTTTTTCTTTTTTAAAAAAATAAGCTTTATACATAGTTCATTGTCAGGGGCTAATGTTCTGTACTTGAAACCTCCCATTCAGTTATACCACTTAATCCTAAAGGGTTTCTGGGTTGCACAAGCCTTTTGGCTTCCCATAACATGGGGAACAGAACTCAAGTGTGCTAGCTCCGACTGTGGTCACTTACAGGTGGTGGAGGAGGACAAAAACAACTGGGAAAGGGCAGAGAGCCCAAGGAGAAGCTCCATCCTTCCTCTCTATGGCAGAGGGAGGCTTTGGGATCATAAAGGTGCTTCATAGGGAAGATGAGAAGAGGTAGTGTAATCCACAGGCCCCACTGAGGCAGGGAGTCAGCACATGAGTTGTCTGGGATGGAACATTTAAGCTCACAAAAGACTCACCTGTGACATCAACTCCATAGAACTCTTGAGACCTGCTTTGAATTCTAGCATGCCTTAAGACTCTAGTTCAGTGTTCCTGTCACCTTTTCTGATCCTTGAATGCAGTTCTCTTTCAAAGATGCTGCTGTTCCCAGCACTGGCTGGAGCTGATGGGAGCTGGAATCCAAGAAACATAAGAACATGGGAAAAGCCTCCCGGACCTGGCTCACCTAGTCCAAGCAACCTGTTCTCACAGTGGGCAACCAGAAACATATGGGAAGCGCCAAAACAGGACCTGAGTGTAACAGCACTCTACCCATTTGTGATTCCCAGAAATTGGAATTTAGCAGGGGTTTGAACATGTGGAACTGCTGTGCAATTATGGACAGGGCCGTTTGAAATTAGAGATACTAATTATGTTTTATGGCGCTGTTACACTCTAGAATAAGATGCATTTAAAATAAGGTTCCTCTGAGTCTTGTAAATAAAGGTGCAAGTGTTACCAATCACCTGCAGAAAATGTTTACTAGCCTACTGGGAGGCAGACAGGAAGGATGGAGAGCTCTGTCCCTCTTGGATGCATTTATCTCATGTGTGGAGAGTACTGAGTGTTCCATCTTTCCTCCATAGGCCTGTTCTCTCACTTTCATGGAATTCCATTTGCTAGTGGTTAATACAGGGCTGGGTTATCTACTGCTGTGTCAATACAGTACTGTCAAATTAGCATGCTTTAGCTGTACTTATTCATTAATGGAATTCTCCTACTCCTCATATCAGTGTAAGCTGCTAAGGGGCACTTCCAGATGAGTTTGTGGAATGAGTGCTACTCAGTGCTATTTTTCTAGCAGTGCCAGAACTGAGTTCCAGATGGAAAAAAGCTCTGGTGCTACTCATGCAAGTTTTTTTAGTGCATCCAGGTAATGTCATCAGAAAACTAGCCCATGCTCCCCACCCCATTTAATATTGATTGCTCCTTAGCACACAAAATCCAGTAAGTATAACATGTGCAGTCACTGATGTTGAAGCTCCTTAGTTTTAGTGGGCAGTTTGTCATGTGGCTGGCTTCTATCACGACCCCCTTTGCTCTGTTTTGCTACTCAGTTGAGGATCATAACTTAGCCATTTTACTTCTGGTGCACAAGTAGAATGTCCCGACTGATATCTGCAACTCAGCGGCCACTTGCCAGAACCAGGCTGTTGTGGAGGCTGGCTGGAGTGGTGGCTGTGGGAGCCATGAACCCCAATAAAGGCTGTGAAAACTTGCACTAATTCTGCTCCAGCTTCTTTCTTGGAAAGTAAATGGCTGGTTGAAGGAACCTCCTCACTGGAGCAGGGGCAATATTTTGATAGAGGTCTTGCATGAGAGCAAACTTGCACAAGATCATTTTTTTAAAAATGGCTGATATATGTATTGTGACTATCTTTAAGCAACAGGATTTGGGACCTGGAAGTGGGGTAATGTTGAAGGAAAACAGCCAGAGTTACTGTAGCTCAGCTGGGCTTAAGATTTGAGTACTCTGCTGTATTCTGGTCCTTTATTATATCTGGAACCCATAGATGGGTGGGATTTGATGTTCCCTTGTCCTCCCCCACCCAAAGCACAAACCTCGTTTCCCCGCACTGTGAAATATGTTTATAATACTGTATCTGCTCTTGTGCAATTCCTGTCAATCTTTTTCTAGGTGTGCATGTTTAGATAAAGAAATACCTGTGTTCATACCTAGAATGGAATAAATAGTGGAGGGTCAGAAAGGATTTATTAAGAGAAAATTCACACAAATTTTACAGTCACCTGGTTTTAGGGTGCTGGTACGATTGAACTTATTTTTTCAGTTGCCAACTCAACACATTCAAAGGGCTCAGGTTTGTGTGTATGTTAAACATTATTTAGAAAGAGCAGCCAGAGTGGGGTTGGGGGGACCACATATAAAATGCCTACTGAAAACAAAATACCACATAGCGTTTTTATGCTTATTCTCAAAAAGTAAGGTCTGCACCAAGCGTCATATTCCTGCTCTTAGTCACCGGGGTTTGATATTTTGAGTTAGATATTATCATTATCATTATCATTATCATTATCATTATCATTATCATTATCATCATCATCATCCCGCTTTTCCCTCAGACTGCCACCATGAGGGAAGTCATGTTTCACATGGGCCAGTGAGGTGGGCAAAGCCAGCTTTCCCCTCATGCTTCAACTTGCCCTCAGGCCACCCGAAATGTTCAAAAGAGGGCCTTGAGTCATCAGCGCAGGGTGCTTTCCCTGGCGACCATCCCCACAGCTGCCATTCCTACTTGGCCTCCCGCGAGTGGGCGAAGCAAGCACCTCCCTTAGCTGCCTAGGGATCTGTCCCCTCGCCCCTTTTAAAAATGGTGTCAGCCCCGTGAAGCTGTTCTCCATGAGGGCGCCTTTGCACCCCATGCCCTCAAGATGGCTACGAAGGAACTGGCACTCGAAGATTTTGCCTGCCCCAACTCTCTTCGTGTTTTTCGCAGTTCATGAAGAAGCAACATATGTTTTCCCAAGCAGAACCGTCTGAGGACGTAGGAATGGCTGCTTCACTGGGAACAGAACGATAAGACCAGTTAGGGGCAGAGGCTATCTTGCAAGGGAAGGCAAGATGCAGACATGTTTGTGTTTCTGTCCTTGGCCAGCAGACTGGAGTGGGGGGACGGGGACGTGCATGAACATGGGGGAAGCGCTGCCCTTCAAATTCCAATATACTTTTGAATTCCAGCGACAAAATAATTGCATTCCTCGACTGCTTAAGTCTCACGAGGGTGCGCCGTCTAGCTAGATCCGCTTCCACCCTCACGTTGCTTCTGTGGCAAAGGGAAAACGGGACACCAGAGCAAAGATTGCTGAAAGATCTTATGGGGTGGAGGATGACAAGTCTTCATCATGGACTTCCAAAAGGGCAACAGGGGAAAGAGTAGAAAGTCATCCTTCTGACACACACACACACAAACAAACACACACGCACATTCTTCTTTCTACCCTTCACATCCAGCGTGTGAGACTTGTTTAGAACTGGCACTTCATGCTCAGGACAGAGCTGTGCTGGATGCAAACAATCCTATACATGTCTCCTAAGTAAGTCACATTCAATTCAATGTGACTCCATGCCTATGATGCAGGATTCCATCTTTAAATGTGTTTAGCATTCTGTCTGACTCCTTCCTTTCCCCAGGGCTACAACTGTTTTGCACAAAGATACAGCAACTCGGGCTTTCAGAGGATCTCCTGGGCGCTGTGGCTTTCCCAGTTGCCAAAGACCATGTTAAAAACTAGGCTGTGGGACATAGATCGCCAGGAACTAATCTCAGCTGCGGAAAAACATGCTCCCCTCTTTATTTTCGACTCTCTTGGGCGCAGGAATTTAATCTTAATTACTTGCAATTTTTGTTTAACCCGCAAGAAAGAAGGGCCTTTTCACTGGCCAGGTTCAATTCTAATCCTTCTAACCTCCTTTGGGGCAGGTTTGTGGGTTTGGCAGAAGGAGATAGGATCTGCCCATGCGATGCCCACCTGGTGGAAACTCTAGCTCACATGGCCCTTAACTGTAAAATGTATGATGATCTCTGCCAACGATTTCCAGACCATCTATGTATTCCAACATGGAAACCAGAGACGGAGGTTATGCGCTTCTTATTACAGGGGAGAGACCAGGAGCTCACCAAGACAGTAGCTAAGTTCCTCTATTTGATTTTTAGTTGCTGAAGTAAGCTACAGGATCCTGCCCTTGCTGGAAACCCACAGAGATGAGGCGGATTGCTCGCCTCTTCTGCCCTTTGGCGGGTGACTGCGCTGTTGGGGTGGCGACGAGATCGCACTGGCCTAGCTATTTTAAATGTATTCTGAATGTTCTTATGGGATGCCTGTCAGTGTTTGTAAAAAGCAAAAAAAAGAAGGAAAGGGTTCTGACCTCCCTTTGTCTCCTCAGCCTGGTCCTCAGACCCTTGTCGGCATAAAAGAGTCCAGAAGAATATCCTTGCAGAGTTTTATTCTTAAAAGTCTTTGTGCAAAACACGACTGAATAACTATACACACCAGCACTAACCAACTAACCCAAACTCCAGCCTCAGCAAACTAACATTTCTCACTCTATATATACAACTTGGTGCAGGCCGTTGAGTCATGCTGACCCAGCTTTATTCGCATTAAAGAAACAGCGGCCATTTTAGCCATGACAATGCCAATATAGGTTACTTGACTTGACTTGAATTCAATGTGACTCCATGCCAAAGATGCAGGATTCCATCTTTGAATGTGTTCCATCCTGTTCTGCCACTTCTCACCCCCCCCCCAAATTCCTGGGTACTCTGCCTCCACAAAAGGGCCACTGGACCAACTTAGGAGCTGCCAAGAGGGGGAAATGTAAACAGATACAGTCTAGCGGTCTACCACTAAGCAATAGAACAACACCCCCCATTTCTTCACCCTCTTTCTCCTCCACAACCATAATATGTCCATGACATTAGTGTCTCATACTGAACATTAAGTTTTGGAAAAGACTATGAATCGAAAGTGGAGACGCTATATGTATTTTCCCTTATTTGTTTATTTTGTAACACAAAGTCTTCAATATAAACCTTCTTTTAAGGGAAGAATGCTGCGCTGAACCACGCTAGGTGGCTCTCCAAAAACAGCCACAAACGTATTGCTGCTGCATCCTTCCTTAGAGGTTGTGAGCACCACTGGTGGTGCTAAAGATGTGCGTTCCTCTATTACGGCTGCTTTTGATGCTGCACTGTTAGCCTATAACTGTTAGCCTATAGCCTTTGAGGCAGAGAGAGAACAAATTCAAGCCATATATGAAGCTCACACAGTTTCTCCCCCTCCTCAATTAAAGAGGGCTTTGCTA